CTGGGATTTTCACGCTCAGCCATATCTAGGGTTTACAAAGAATGGTGTAAAAAGTTACAACCGAGGTATGCATCAAAGCATTTGTAAAGCCACAATACGCGATCCTGTAGAGGATAGAGGATGCGATCCTGTCAATATGACAACATTTCTAAAGAATGCTTCCAGCACCTTGTTGAATCAATGCCACGTAGAATTAAGGCAGTTCTGAAGGCGAAAGGGGGTCAAACACAGTATTAGTATGGTGTTCCTAATAATCCTTTAGGTGAGTGTATGTTTTGCATGTGTTTACAACAAAATCACATTAATGCTCATGTTGGTCTTTTTTAGAGAATCCTCCATTTAAGAATAGGAATATGGTTTACTCACCCCCAAAAATATAGAGATAGTTGTCTACTATAGCTGCAGCGTGATTTGCCAGTCTGGGTGCCCCTGAAGAGTTTGATTGGCCGAGCTGCTGCCATTCATCTTGCTGTGCACGGTACACCCATACATCACTAGCCAATGAGTGGTCGGAAAGCTCACCACCATAGATGACCATGTTGCCTTGCCATTCTACTGCTATGTGGGAATGTCGAGGAGCCTGATACAGAGGTGTTGTTTATGGGATTATTAAAAGGAAAATATATTATTGGAAATACATAAGATAAGAAAATTCTTAAGAGAACAATTTTCTTACTGGACTATATGAATGTGACATCTGTTCCCAATTATTGGTCAAAAAGTTGTAAACAAGAAGGTCCCCCAGTGCTCTATTCAGATCAAACCCTGAAATAAAGATAGAATTGAAATAAATCATAGCTGTACTTTACAGCAAGGGTTTTCAAATTGAGAGTAAAAAAACACATATTTTTTTCACATTCACTGAATTTTGCAATATCATTTTGCTTTTCTAGAATTGTGATCAATTTATTCTACTGGAAGATAGTCTGTATATAGTTTGTATTTAACATGTTAATGACTTTATAAGTGACTTATATTGCTTTAGTAGAATGATATAAAATACAGTTAAATAATAATTTAATATTTCAAGCTTAATATGTTTCTCATACTTATAAAGTTGTTATACTTGAAGATACAGAGCTGCCTTTATTTTACAGGAGGAGGGTCCTTTGCAAGAAACCTTGGCAAAAGTGTGAAACCCACATCCCAAATCATGAGAAGTGATTCATGATCAGTCAGTGATGGGAAAGGCTGAATAACTTTCTCCCTCAGTCTTACCTCCGAACATGTACATGGCTCCAGCGGAAGCCAGGTAAACTCCAGCAGAGGCGGTGCGAGGGGCTGCTTGAATGTCACCTGAGCTCACCTCCCACCACTGTCCTGCCCCACTGTTGTCACGGAGACCCAGCTGACAGTTCTGTCCCACAAATCCAGGGTTGCAGATACAATGCTCACCCCTCTGTGATCAAGAGAGGGATTCAATAAATCTTTAGTCAAATAATTCAATTCATATTTCAGTGTTTGATGCTTTAATAACATGAGAGCTGAAGGATATCTTCTGCAGACTCATGTTAGGATGGGTTACCTGGTGAACAATACTTAAAATACTTTTCAACTTAATTTATGTATGATTAGAGGTTCCCTTTTGCTTACCTTATCACAGTGACCATGGTCATGTTGTGTGCAGACCTGGGAGCAAAGAGGAGAACTGCAGTCCACTCCTCCCCACCCCTGATGGCACTGACAGCGGGCAGTAGCTACGTCACAGCGTCCATGACCACCGCAGTCCCCAGGGCAAACCGAAAACGTGTAGGTGGCATTGAAGCCCAACAGGTTGTAGTTGGCATCACTGAAGAGGTGGAGCAGCATCTTGTAAAGAACAACAAAAAGATGAACGAATTATAATGACTATACAGAACGAGAGGCAGAAGTCTAGAAGTCATGCACAGGCATAGTTTCTTATGACTCATGGTCTTATAAAACGGATACACGCTGACATATATAGAAATACCTAAGATGGCACTTTTCAAAGCAGAATAAAAAGCATTAAGCAAAGCAAGCACACACTCAGACTAAAGTTGAACAGAGTATGTAAACAACTGATACTTTTGGGCTTACCTTCCCAGACTTTGCTTCAATTGGTTGTGGTAGGGTGGTGCCACTTAAACTTGCCAGTAGGGGGCTCTGGTAGGAATCTCCATCGTAAACAAACAGATAGTCATAGGTGCACTCCGTCTCCATAAACGTGAAGTTAAGCACAATGCGATGATTTCTGCTGGGAGCTGAAGAAGTAGTTCAAGAAGAGTTCCAATTACAAATAGAACAAACATACAACTATAACAATTTAGAGAGTGAAGGGTCACAGTCACTTAGCTACTGATATTGGTAGTTATACCAATGTAATAAATATTAGGTAAGCCAGCCTTAGTAACATGATGAGACTGCAGAAGATTTCCTTCACCTCTCATTTTATTAAAGCAGCAAATACTGAAATACCCACTTAATCATGTGACGAAATAATTCAAGTTGCAATAAAACATAAGTAGTGACAGATCTTTTCTTCCATATTGTGACGTACATCCAATTGAAACAGATAATCAAAAAGAAAAACAATGTAGAAAACTTGGTTTTATCTATCGGTTGTTGATTGGATGGAGGCAGATCTAAATGCAAGCTTGCAAAAAGGGAAATACTTTAGACTGACTAATTATTAAGAAGTCTGTCATTTGTTACCACAGAGAGGTCTATAGTGTGAAGAGAACAGAATATAGGGATGACCACATTATGAAAAACAAAAAGAGACACATAAACGCTTGGACAAATTGTTCACAAAAAACATTGAAAGAATTCTCATTTCATTCAATTTGAAAAAAATAAGCAGAAAACAATCATCCCTTTCATTTCCACTATATGCTAATAAAGTTCATTTCATTCATCAGCCCTTTGTTTTTTGTAGTTTTTGACACCAACCCTTAATGAGCCACTCGCAGTTCCCATTCACAGAGTAGTTTCCCGGCCCATCTGTGACATATCCTGGGACACCCCGGAGAACCTGTCTTTGGCCCTTACAGTCTCCTGCCCAAATAACAGGGATCAGAACCATCAAGACAGGCAGCAGGAGAGTCGGAGTGTGGGAAATCATCCTCTCCACCAGCCGCAAAGGGCAAAGTGAGAAAAAGATGGAGAAACTGCTGGAGGGTGGGAAGTTGGACTTGCTCACAGTATGGAGACCTATAGAGAAAAAACATCAAAGTATATATATATATATATTAATTACACACAAATAATACAACAGTCAAATTAACTCTATAATATGGCATCCCCAAACAGCCTACCTTCTATTAGACCTCTAAATTCCCAACTCAATCAACACTTTGCAGAAATCTCTGATATTTCATACTTTTTTAGCAAGTAAAAGGCCTTTTATTGAAATTATAGAAATGTCCACCTTCAAGTTCTAGTACATGTCAATGCTAACTTTATTTATATAGCACCATTAAAAACAATCAATTGTTGACCAAGGTGCCAAATACCATATCCAATACACCAGAATCACCCATATTTGCTGCAAAGTAGCACAAACCTGATGAGGACAAAAAAACACTTTCAACAGTAAACTATGTGCCATACACACTGAAAATTACCTAACATAAAATATAAGATAGAGTCCATTTGGAATTTGAGTAACTTAATTTTCCAATTTTTGCTTTAAAACTAGTATGTCTTGTCTAACGTTAGTAGTGCTTTAGCTGACACAGGCATCATTGTAACAGCTATGCTGAGCTAACGGTTTACTTAGCTGTTCTGTCATCACATTTAACTGACTGTCCCCTGTGAAACAAAAATGTATATAGCAATGTACATCTGTCCATTGTCAATTAAGCATTGACTAACTCAATCAAAGAGACTGTTAAAATCGACAACTGAGCCAGGGCTTTAGCTGAGCAAGCTAACCGACTAACGTTAGCCATGTCTATCCCGCTAGCTCCGGGGGAAGAAGCAACCGTCCTCCGCTCATTTACTCACCAATTCCCGAGTCTTGGTCTCCATGTTTCTACAGCATTGAGATACTCGTAACTTACATCCTGTGTCAGGTAGATAAATAAATAGACGCACTGAGGGACGCGACGCGACGCCCCAGCAGTATCGCTGCGGCTATTGTGTCAGTGGTGTTGGTGTTGCTGCTGAGCCCAGCGGCGGTTTAAAGCGCGAGACCACCGCGGATGATGATTTGTGAGAGCGGCTAGAATCAAAGGCCTTGAGCTCTGCTCATAGGATAGCTTTATTTACCAAACCTCTCCAGATGTTAAGAATGTGCGCGTCCTATTTGGTTTAACTTCTGGCTAAATCCAAGAAATAACTGTTCCAACATCAACTGTGTGCCTACGTTTTTCCTGATGTCCAGGACGCGTCTTGAATCGTGCAGCTGTGTGCTGAAGTGTTTGTTAACTGGGGATGTGAGTGTGTGCGCGCTTCCAGATGGTTGTCAACAACACAAAGCCTATCCGTGAGCATGCTGAACGGGCTCTGCTGGTCTTTTGATAGTATTGCAATGCAATCTTACATATTAGGGGTTTTTAAAACTTTTAGGACAAATATGATTTTCCCCTGGCGAGAACCGATGTGTCAAAACAATGATATAGACATTAAGACCAGAGTTTTTCTAACAGACTAAAATAAACAAATGAATGTATAGTGAGTTATTTTTTTCACGTAGCCTCGTCAGTTTCATGTTACATAAATAAATACATTTCAATTTATTTATTTTTACTCACCTTTTATAAATAATAAATTAATTAATTTTTATGCATTATTATACCTACATTTAATTAGATATTTTTATTAATATGTATTTATTTTTTTATTTATATGTATATAAAGATTAAGATAACTGGGCTTGAAAACTTTAACCGATCGGGCAGCAATTCCTGACAGAAATTCATATAAAACCCAATTAACTGGTGTTAATGATCTGTGGAGAGATGGCAAGCAAAATCGGTTTGAAATTGCAGACAAACTTGTTTGACTGTTTGCACTTTTATTATATTTTCCTGATTTTCTCCCCCACCCGCACTCGCTCGCGAACGCGGAAGTTGCAGTGACAGAAATAAGACGAAAACAGGTAGAACGTCTCGTCCTTCAAAAATTGCTTACTACTTTTCTTTTCTCTTTAAACAACACATTTTAAACACTACAGGTTTGCCGTTTTAAACAGCACAGAGATTTGTAAGCATCTTTCAGACTCATATAAGAAAATATTGGCGTTTTAGCGAAAGTGAAACTACAGCACTAGTCTAACATGGCAGACAGTGACGAGGACATCACAGACAGACCATCTCTTCTCGAATCAGACTTAACGTGTCCTGTGTGTAAAGACATTTTTAGGGAACCCGTCTTGCTTTCGTGTAGCCACAGTTTCTGTCGGCAATGTCTGGAGAGCAGCTGGAAGAACCAGACGAAAAAGCAATGTCCGTTGTGCCGAAAATGCTGCGACGGAGAGACACCGATCCCTAACCGAGCACTGGACAACACTTGCGTATCCTATAAAAAGGAGAGGAACTGGAGAACAGGAGGTCCTGTCGATGAGATCATCTGTGGTTTGCACCAGCGCCCATTCCAGCTCTTCTGCATTAAAGACGAGGAACCTGTGTGCGTGGACTGCGTGACGCTTCACCCAGGACACGAGCTGGTGCCGATAGATCAGGGAGTGCCTTTCTGCAGGGTGAGCTCGTTACATTTCCCCTCACCATAAGTACTGAACCAAAAGCAACTCACTTCATGTTACAGCTAAAATGAATACTGACTTTTTTTGTGGAAATGCATAAATTCATTACTAACGTGCAATTTTTTATAGGATGAGCTTAACATGAAAATAAAAATACTGGAAAGTAAGCAGGACTCTTTCAAAAGAATGAAAAAAAGATATAGAGACACAGTCTCCTTTATTGAGGTAAACAGTTTCTGAAAATGTATTAAAGGCCAAAAACTTCAAAGTCTTGATCATTGCTCATTTCACTTCTCTGTTTTGCTATAGGGCCAGACTAAAGAGGCAGAAGCGCAAATTAAGCAGGAGTTTGAGAGACTCCGTCAGGTCTTAGCTGATGAGGAGACATCTAGAATTAATGCTTTGCATAGAGAAGGAGAAGAGAAGAAGCTGATGATGAATGGGAGTATTGAAAGCATCACTCGTGATATTTCAGCTCTTGGAGATTTGATTCAAACAGTAAAGAGGGAAATGGGAGCCGAGGAATTGACTTTCCTTCAGGTAATAACTTTTTGTGTACCAAATAAAAAATAAACTTACTCTGTTCGCCAATTGTAAACAGGACACACATATGCATCCATACATTTTGTTTAGACTGTCTTTAATACATGTTCAGCAGATATACATTCCAGTTATTCAGAGTTTAGATCCAACTTGCCTCAACACATCACTCTTTTAAGTGAACTTTTCACCTTTTCTTTCTCAGAACTTCCAGAAGCTAAAAAGACGGTATGTGTCTCTTGATTTTTTTTCCATATATTTCTTAGTTCTGTTATGTTATGTATTACAATTGGTGTCATATTTGCTCACACTGATGCCCTTTTGCCCTTTTTTCCATATAACTAGTTTCTAAATGCATGTAATATATCTTAAAGTGTTAGTTCACCCAAAAATGAAAATCAAGTCATTATTTACTTTGTGCTCTAATGCCATACGTCCTTCTTTGCTTTTCGGATCACAAAATGTCCTGCTCATGATGCTCATCCATATAATGGCAGTGAATAGCGATTAGCTTCAAACCTGCTCACAGAACGATCCCTGGTGACTTGTGCCATTTATTCTGAGGGCATTTTAAAGATTTGGTGAAAAGCAAACAAACGTTTTATTTATTATTTAATTAAATCCTTACCTTTTGCTGTGTATGACTGCACGTTCATGACACTGTGTAGCACACAAGCGCAACACTTTGAGAAATCAATATTAATAAAAATACACTAGTAAATAATGACTTAAATTTCTTTTTGGGTGTACTGGACGTTTAAGGTGTGGTCACATTAGTATAATTAGTAAAAGTGTTATGTATTAGCACAGCTCACAAAGAAGTCTTTTTAAAGCCAAGAAGCTTCCTGTTGGTTAATTCGCATGACCAACTGAACCTGTAGAGAAAATTTCATGGGGAACTTTTTCGCCCTCACTAAATTCGCTCGTATTCATAATAAAATAACTGGATTTTGACAAACAATTGTCAACAAATATCCATATCATATCTTTCTTCTTTTTTTTACTTCAAAATGTAATACAAATGTCATAATTGGATCTTTAAGTGAAAACGTCAACTTTTTATAGTCAGACTTTTAACGTCAGACTCGCATAACCAAGTCCCTGCCCTACATTTTTTTTTTTTTTTTTTCAACAATCTGTTTCAGTCCATTTCAGTGTGACTTTAATTCTGCTGTGTGTAAGAGGGTAAACTTCACTTGATGTCTGTCACAGAACCCAGTGGACTGGTGATGAACCAAAGAAGGTTGAAGGAGCTCTCATTAACATGGCCAAGCATGTAGGCGCTTTGGGTTACAAAATCTGGGAAAATATGCAATCTCATATCACATGTTGTGAGTGCACATTTCATTTTCTATACAATATGTGTAATACTAACTCAGAGAACTTTGTGGGTTACCTTAAAATGTTTGTGTCTGCAGTGCCTGTAATCCTGGATCCCAACACAGTCTCGCCTTGGCTCTCTATATCTCCTGATTTTTCCAGTGTGCAAGAGAGTCAGGAGAGGCAGTCTTTCCCAGACAACCCTGAGAGGTTCGATCCCTGTGTTTTTGTTCTTGGTTCAGAAGGTTTCTCCTCAGGGCGCCACCGTTGGGAGGTCCGAGTGGCTGACCATCCCAAATGGATTTTGGGAGTGTGCAAGGAGTCAGTAGTTCGGAAGAGGAAGTTCACAGTGACAACAAAAGCTGGAGTGTGGACCATTGGTCTGAGTAAAGGGGTATACAATGCTCTGACCACTCCACGCACTGTGCTGAATCTAGAAAGAAGGCCCGAAACCATCAGAGTAAAGGTCAATATGGAGAAGGGAGAAGTGTCGTTCTGGGATACAGGCAACAACAAGCACCTATGCACGTATAATGATAAGTTCACTGAAAAGCTGTTTCCCATCTTTGGCCCTGGGCTCCAGAGCACACCCATCACTATTTTGCCTGCTAAAGTGAGCATAAACAAACAATAAGTAAACGCTAACATATAAGCCTGGTAAAACTCATCTAATGTTGATGTACAATTTTAATTCTATTGAAATTTTGTATCCAGTACAAGATGAGCCAAGCAACAGCATTGTGGTATTATGTTTTAATGATTACCACAGAAATGCATTGCACCATGATTCTCCCCTTATCTTTTATTTCTGAATTGCAGTAAGAATCTAACAACATAAACTTTAAAGCACTGTTTCAATTGTATAGCCACAAGACATAAACAATATGTGCTAACATGATTTCAGAGTGGGAAAAATGACTAACATTTTCTGTAATATCCAATTTTACAGTTTCGTCAATCTGAGGAAATGAATACAAAAACCTATTTAACCACTGCAAAAATGATGATTAATCAGCTTTACAGCTCAAATAATACACACATTTTAAAAGTATAATTAATGTTAGCACGTTTAAAAAAGTGTAAGTTTCACATTTATGCTTTTAAATCCTTCAAAAACTGGACCCGGTCCCTTCCATTATAAGTGCAGCACCATAACCTGATCCTTGATTGTTGCTGCTTCTTCTTTTTTTGTGAGCGAAACTTTTACTAATCTTGGAAAACTCCTTTAAATGGAAATTTAATGGAAAATATGCTTTTATATTATGCAAACATTAAGCTTGCATCATCATTTTTCATGTAATTGAAATAACTAGCAGGACTTTTAGGCTGATTTAGCCCTTGCTGCTGGAACGGTGGGTGCATTAAAACTCATTCAGTCATCAATTTGCTTTTCCCATTTTATTGTGCTTCCCATGTAGGAGTAGACATTTTTAGGTTGGTTCCTAAACCCATAAACAACATAGAAACTTACACACATTTGCGCATCAAAACCATACATCTGAAATCAACTGTAACAGATCAAAATGTATAACACCAAAGAGAAAATATACATAACCAGAATTCAATGTAACATCAACACAATCCCTTTAACTACACAAAACCAGTCTCTTACATAAAAACAAGCTGAGAATGAAGCATGATTAGCTAGTGACAACAGGTGATCTCATCAAGACTCAATTAGCCAATCAGATCACAGCAGGATTTTCTAGATAATATTTGTGGGATTTACTAAATGTCACCAAAAATAAGAATGGCATCTTTATTGCTGTAGAAATACTGTTGATCATTAAGTAGAGAAATAGATTTTGATCAACTTTAAATCTTACAATTAACCCTTCTACTGTTAAATGACAATAGTCAACATTTAATCAGCTACATTGTTATTTGAACTTATATGAAACGGTGTTGCATTGATGGTCATGTGACTCAAGAACAAGCCTTTTCTCTATTTTTTTTATTATTATTAAATATAATTTACAATAACTCTTTCCGTTTTTATTTGCCACTCAATTGTGTCAGCTATATGTTTATTTAAATATATGCAGTATAGTGTTTGATATCAGCAGGTGGAAGTTAAAGAAATTGGATTAAACAACAATAAATGATCTCACTTATCAGAATGAATGTGTTTCTTGTGTCTCAAACGTTATTTCAGTTTTGCATCCTCCTGTCAAGAAAAAGGAACACCCACATTAATAGAAAAAATCTCAGAATACACTAGACCCATTTAAATTAGTCAAAACTGATGTCCAAATTATTGTGACATTAGGAACTAATTAAGAACTAGCTTGACCATAATCAGTTTGGCTTTTTCAGCTTCAAATTAATCCAATCTACATTTTATGTAAGTGGTTTTAAAAAAAAGACCAGTCTTAAAGGAAAAAAAAAATATTAACCTGTAAGACTAGCAAGACTATGTCTTAAATGTCTACATGAGTAGAAGTTTGACAGTTACAGTGTTATCTAAGTCTCATGCTTTCCTCTGCACTGAGACAGATTACAGAGGACTGATCTACAGTAGGATTCAATTGCCCACACACGTCACACTGCAATTCCGCTTAAACGGAAATGTAGTAATAGAAAGGCTTGCCTCCACCATTTCCTTGACCCTACACTGGAGAAGAGGCTAGGAGAATAAAAAAATGGATGGAAAGGCTTGTTAGTTTGATATTTACAGTTACACCAAAGTGTCCATCCGTAAATGTGGTTGGAATAGTGTGTAGCTCTTCACTTTGGAGTTTGCAAGTATAAAAATAAAGCAGTTGTCGATGTAATGGGGGGATACTCATTATTTTAAAGAAATTAGTGTTTGAAATGTTTTCAGTTTTGTTTAAGATATGCTAGGTCTGGTTCCATCTGCACGGTTCATTATCTCAGTACTAACGTCATGGAAATAGTGTTGATCCTCCACCCTCATCACAGACTGCTGGGAGCTGCTACATGAGAAGACCAATGAAGACCTCACATGCACAGGTAGGCTGATCATTCATGTTCTTTTCCTACAGACTCATTTAATTTATATAGGCAATAAGACATTTTAGGACTTAATTTAAGTTAGTTAAAAGAAAAAAATCAGCTATTGTTAATATTTTCACTCTCACAAGACGTTCATAAAATATTGATGTAATATGCCTACAGATACTGTTTTTCATGACCCACAACATTAAACCATGTGGTTGAAAATTTTAAACCCTGTATTTGACATATAAACAGTATAGACAGCTTAGTATCTCTCTTTTTTTTTGTCATTTTGGGTCATTATTTTGTAATCTGAATGTTACATGAGGGAAGAGTTGCATGAAGATCTTTGGCTACCCCACCCATTCTTATCAGCTTATCTTAGTCAGAAAAGACCGCGTAACATCATATTATATAAATAATCCATTTATACTGTAGTAATTCCTTCTTGTCTCATCTTTCTCCAGTCATAATGAACAAATAAATATTTGTCTATGACTGACCCCATCACTTATCAAAGGCATGTTGATGTATTTATGTGTTTGTGTGTTAATGGGTGGGGGAGGGGGGGGGCATATCTTTCTAAAACACTCATATCAATATCACACAACAGGACAGTGCAGGAGGGCAGGGCCTCTTATGATGCCTCATACAAACGTGTGCTGCGAGAACCATGGGAACATGAATGTGAACTGAGGTGCAGTTCGAAAGATAACCGTAAAGCCTTGCAACTTTTGCAGCTCATTGCTTGACGAGACAGCTCGTACTCCACCACCAGAGGAATAACCATGAGAGACATGTTGCAGTGTCGAGTGAATTTCCTGGATGACACCCACTTTGTGTGGGAACTGGAGGTATCTGAACAAAGACTCTCTGTACTTTCTTTCACATTGCAAAAAAAATCACATTCATCTTTCTAACAAGAAGTTTTTCTTAGTAATACTTAATTAAGTTTATATTTGTTTTGTTATAAATTAGGTTTTTTGCTAACAAGAAGAAGAAAACTATAGAATTAATATTTAAATAACACAAAATTGTAAGTGAAAATAATTGTCATTACCTGAAAACATTTATTATCTAACTCAGTTAAGTAATTTCATCTTGCTTTAAAAAAAATAGATTTTTTTTTCTGTACATTTATTTTAAAGACATTAAAATGTTATTATTAAAACTCAATTTCTACTTGAACAGAGAAATGCAGTGGGACAAGTTCTCTTCAGCAAAGTTTGTGAACACCTTGACCTGCTGGAGAGGGATTATTACGGTCTGGTTATGTGGGATTCTCCAAGTACCAGGGTATTTATTTCATTTTATATCACACTAGCATATGGAGATTCTGTTGTATTCAATCATTTGACAAATAAAAACTCATGTGTTTTAAGCATTATTCTGTGTTTATTGATTCAGGTATGGCTGGACTGTGCTAAAGAGATCCGAAAACAGATAAAAAGTATGAGATTTTATACATTATACATTATTAGTGGATGGTGCAGATTCACACATGTTTGTGTTTTCAGCTCTACATTTGTTCCCTGTTTGTTTGGTTTCAGGTCCAGAAACTGAATTCTTTTTCAGCATCAAATTTTACCCACCCGATCCCTCAATTCTGGCAGAGGACATCACTAGGTACAACAAGAGACAAATGCACACATACAAAACTTTCACATTGAACTGCCTATGTGTTGATATACATGTGCATGTTTTTCTGTGTTGACTGAACACTTACTACTCCATGTAATTTTTTTAGATATCTCCTGTGTCTTCAGCTGAAGAAAGATATTTTGATTGGCCGACTGCCCTGTCCATCAGACATCTTGCCTCTGTTGGGTTCATACACAGTTCAGTCAACACTAGGAGATTACGACCCAAATCTCCACAAGAACAACTATGTCAGTGAAATCGTTCTTGCACCCAATCAGAGTGAAGAGCTGGAGGAGAGAGTGATGGAGCTGCATTCCACATACAGGTATCCTGTACCAACAATCATACACACACACACACAAAATTATTTATATATAAAATATTTATATATAATATAAATTATATATAAATCTATATACCGCATATACATGAAAATATTTCTTAAATATATATAAACGCATGTATGTGGATTTATATATATAAAATAATTATACACAGTGCACCCACAAAAAAAATATTTCTATATAAAATATTTATATAAATAATATAAATTATATATAAATCTATATACCACATATACATGAAAATATTTCTTAAACATATAAAAGCATGTGTGTGGATTTATATATGTGTGTAAATAATTATACACAGTGCACCCACATATTATGTAAACACAAAATTTTATTTTGGATGCGATTAAAAGCGATTAATCGTTTGACAGCCCTAATATACTAGTGTACTAACATACACAAAAACACATTTGTATCATTTCTTTGTGTACTACACAGATTCATGAGTCCTGCCCAAGCAGATATGCTTTTCCTTGAGAACGCCATGGGGCTTCCCATGTATGGCGTGGACCTGCATCCTGCCAAAGTAATTTTAATTTGTCAACTCAACTCAGTTTGAAAGTATTTGGAATGTATTAAAGCAGCAGTTTTTTTTTTCAAACATGTAAAATGTTTGTCTTCTGCGGAACATAAAAGAAGATATTTTGAAAAATGTCCAGTGTTGTTTTGGACCCTATTGACTTTCATTGTATGAACAAAAACATACTTCTTTAAAGTCTTCTTTTGTGTTTCACAGATAGAGCAGAATTTTCATTTTTGGATGAACTAGCCCATAACAGGGCATGAACAGTGCACTTCCTTAGTGTATATCTGATTTGTTGATAGGATGTCAGCGGTGCAGATGTGATGCTCGGCGTGTGCTCTGAGGGACTGATGGTTTATGAGGATGAGATAAAAACAAATATTTTCCCTTGGCCCAGAGTTCTTAAAATTTCCTACAAACGCAGCACCTTCCTTCTCAAGATGCGTCCTTCTGAGGTATTCAGACATGCACACTAGCTTTATTCTTTGCTTATGCATTGCTCTTGCTTTTTTGGTGTAGTGACACACACTAATGTGGTTAACTTTTTCCATTTGACCTGATTTAGCAGGATGAGTCTGAGGGTGACGTCTGCTTTAGATTGGCCACCTACCGAGCCTGCAAACAACTGTGGAAATGCTCTGTAGAACATCATAGCTTCTTCAGGTAAGCCAACCCATGTATGTTTATTACCTAACCATGGCTTACAAGTATTGTATCATCAGTATTGTATATAACAAGGTTCATCCATTTTTTGTGTGTCCATGTGAGCACAAGAAACACAAGGGGGCGCTCCAGTCAAATGTATTATTTCAAAAGATTATTCGAGGTAAAACATGCCTTGTCGATCCTCTTTCGGATATTTCAAGAAATAAGAAAATACCTCTAAATGTGTTTTCCAGAAACAGACTTCAAGACACAAAAGCAAAACGGCTCTTCACCTTGGGTTCCAGGTTCCGCCACCATGGACTCGCTCAGTCTCAGTGCCTGGAGGCCAGTGGCAACATCACGCGAGCTCCTCCTCGATTCACACGTTATATCTTCAAGAGAAAAGGCAATCTTTTACTTATTTATTTATTTATTTAGTTCGTTTTAGTTGTAGTTTGTTTGATTTGATATGTAGTTAATTTAGTAGATTTGTTTTTTAGGCTTATTTATTTATTTATTTTATGGATACTAATATTTGATTTTAAATGTTTGTTTGTTTTCAGCAAATGAAGAAATTCTTGATATTCTAACACAACCAGTTCGAGCTGAGTTTGATGATTGGTTCCTGGTCTACGGTCCAGACAAATGGCAAATTTCTACATCAGGTAAAGTCCTATGGCAAATTGAAATAATGTTATCTGACTGAAATAACTGTCTGCACATTATCTGCATTTTTGATCAAAGAATATTAAATATATAGGCAGCCTTGCTTTTGCCATTTGACCACAAAATATATATAGTTGTGTTCGTCAAACACATATTATTTTTGGTTCGTTTTTGAATCTTTGTTTGTTATACCATTAAAATATTTTCTGATGAACTGTAAACATCCTGTACAGATGATGGGATGCTGGAAAGCCAAAAGCTGCAGGAGTGGAAACATCATGCAGATGATTGGTGTGTCCTCCTTGACAGCAGCAAATGTAAGTCTTTTTTAGTGTCTAGTGTAAGTCTTTTCTGGTTCTCTCAAATACACCAGTGTGTACATCTTCTAGAGAAAAGACTGCAATGCCTAACTGAGCATTAACCCATGCCTAACTGAGCATGCACAGACTCTAGAATATATAGAATTTGGGAAAAATAAATATAATATAAATGTATAAAATAAATAATTATTAAATATTAAATGATGAATTATTATAACTCCTAAAAAAGGGGGTTAATTTAGCCAAACATACTCACCCTGATGTTGTTTCAAATGTGGTTATCTTTGGAACACAAATGAAGATCATAAAGTGAAGATCTTTACCATAAAGTGGTAAATTATGTTTGTTTGTTTTTTTGGTGCAAACAAAGTACTCACTTCATAAAATTGAGGTTAAACCACTGGAGTCACATAAATTATTTTAATGATCTCTTTGAAAACCTTTCTGGGGCTTGAAAATGGTAGTTGGGTTCATGTCAAAGGAGGGACAGAAAGCCCTAAGATTTCATTAAAAAGATCTTCATTTGTGTTCCAAAGATGAACTAATGTCTTACAGGTTTTGAACGACATGAGGGTGTGTAATTTATTATTGAAATTTAATTTTTGAGTCAATTAAGTCAAGTCAAGTCACATTTATTTATATAGCGCTTTTCACAATACAGATTGTATCAAAGCAGCTTCACAGTGACAACATGAAAGTAGTACAACACAGATCAATAATATTGCTAAACACTAAATAACCCCAACTGAGCAAGCCAAAAGCAAGGCGAATTAACCCTTTAACAATAAAAAATACATTTTAAAATATTGATAATTGTGGTTTTGGTTTAGGCTTTATCCTAATTTTGGAGCTTGCACCTAACATATGCTTTCTTACTTCCATACCACATGCCAAAAAGTCAAGCTCTGGTAATCAACCAAATTTGTTGACATAAGGATAAAAGTGCAGCCTGGGCTGACATTTTCCATAACATTCAATTAGAAACGCACAAGTCCCTCGGGACTGCTCTGCGTAAATAAATATTATAGTTTGCATTAAATCTTGACATTCCCTGAAGGAAAGGGCTGTGATTGATTGTAATTTTGGATTATTTAGTTCCAGTTTCACTATCAGGCGTCCAGCAGCCTCTTCAGACGGAAGAACTGAGAGAGGACGTGGAAGTTGTGGAGGGGTCAGACGACAGGCTCACAGATGAGCTTGTGATAAAGCAATCATATAAAGTTCAGGTGGTCCAGGAGGGCTCTGATGTTATCGAGAAAGAACACCAGGAAGGAATGAAACCTCTAAAGGAGACACTAAGAGAGGAAGTACTAGAAGTCGATGGAGAAAGAATACAGAGGGTAGTAATCACTAAACAATGGAAACAGGAGGTATCCTCTTCCAGCTCTTTGGTGGAATCACAAATAGATGTAGAGAAAAATATAGAGAGGATGGAGATGGTAGAAAGACATGTTATGGTCACCGAAGAGAGGAAATTTGGTTCTGGAGACCTTTTTGAGAGACTGGAGATCATGGAGCAGAGACTGGAGGAGGTGGAGGCTATCGAACGAAAGCTAGTTGAGGTGGAAGAACTGAGGGTTGGATTACAGGAAATGGAAAGTTTGGAACAAAGGTTGCAGCAAGTTGAAAAGGAGGAACTTCAACACATGGAGACAGATGATTGGTACATTTTACTAGATAGCAGGCCATTGATGCTAACGCCTACTCCCATAGGTATGTCATATGTTGCTTTTTCATTTAATATATTTCGAAAAGCTAATTAAAGTGCCTAAGGTGGAAACATCGTATTTTTTTTCAGGAAGAGTTCAGGAGGAGTTGACAGAGATAGTATATATCCCCAAACTAATGAAGAAAGATGATGATTGGTACATTCTATTGGATGTGGTCCCACAAACCATGGAGATATCGCATCATCTTTCAGGTATCTATAAAATACGTTTCTGTTTTAATTACACGGCTCTCTGAAATATTCTATTCTTATTCTTCCTTTGCACCATCTAGTAGTCATGTCATTTTTACCATCGTCCAACTAAAACAACTATTTTTATGTCTCTCGTCGTATCACACTGCACACTTGTACATAAAACCAAATAAAAACAAATCGGGTGGCATCCTGCATATCATTTATCGATTGTTGTAACATTTGGAACCGCATACTCGTATACTATTAAAAAGTCAGCATGACATGGAAGTTGCAATTTGAATGGCTTCTCAAACAAGAAAAAATGTAGGGCGGGACTTGATTTTGTTCATCGGGAAGTGATTGGATCGTTGGATGGTTGTTGATTGCTATTTGTCAATCTCATGTGAGTGACAGGTTGTCCTGACCTCTTGCCAGTAAACACAAGTGGGAGAGGAAGGTAATTTGATTGAAAATCAAGTGGGCGCATGAAAAAATAAAAAAAGGATACACAAATACTGTAAATAATGCAGTGGCGTAGGTTTGATTTTGAAATTGGTGGGGACTGGGACATTAATATATAAATATATTTTAAGTTTTGATCGAAAATATTGCTAGGGATATATCAGTGTCACTGGATATTGGTAGGGACACCTAGCGTCCCTAATAAATTCTATGCCCCTGAAAATAATGTATAATAAATACTGCAATATTCCCTAAAAACAAGAATTGTCAGTTATGATTTCAGGCTGACTTTAAGGCCCGTTCACACCAAGAACAATAACTATAGCAATAAGGTTTTAATAATTGTTCTTGTTAGGAAGGATTAGTTGTAACTCAATCTGGTTGGTAATATGTTGCATTCACTACAGGATGTCAGTCACGACTCAGGAAGACAGTATCAGGTTGATATAGGTTTACTTCAATAGTTGGTATATAGAACAGCAAACAGCACGGTATGGCATAACAGGATTTCTATGCAATACTGAGGTTCTCTTTGTATGTTAGTGTGTGTGTGGTTCTAAATGAACAGAGAAAGGGAATAATTACTAACTGCAATAGTATCATCTCAAATTAGCACAACAGTATGCTCATAAACTAGGACATTAAAACAATATTATCAGAATATATTTAAACAATATTCCCGAAAGAGATCAACTATTCTCATAATAAAGTAATCAATTGTAGCGATTACATTATTGCAGTGATAATTATCAAATGAAATAGTCACTAACGCTAGCCAAATAGTATACTATTGACGTCGTCTTTCCCAAACAGTCATAATTAGCTTAGCGTTAGGATAGATCAACACATCTTACGATATTAAATGGTTACTAGAAACTCTCAAAGAAACATTCATAATAAACAGCTCACTTACATGTCGTCATTGACGCACACCAACTAAAACCACTCAGGAATAATTAGAACAGGGTAAATTCTCAGTACTCAAGCACTAACAGTCCACACCTGACCGAAGTTTCTGTCCATTTCCTCATAACGTTACGGCTGATGCAATACTTGCAACGAACTTAGTAAGGGCAGGCCGCCACCTAGTGGGTGGAATAAGTAATGTTCCCACATTAACTATAAACATGTTTGACTCATAACGGGCCTTTTGTACAGTTCTAATTATATGAGAATAGTGAAGTCCAATATTGTCAAGAGAAAGTGGAATCAGAACAACTTTTTAAAGATGATGAACGATAAAATCTTTGACAACCAATCAGAATTAAGGACAAAGAGCTTGTAGTGGAAGAAAATAATGGATTTTGTAAAATATTAATAAAAACAAAACTAAAAATAAACAAATATAAAATAAATAATTTAAGTTGAAATTAATATTTCATGTTGACATATTTATTTATTTTAAGTGACTGTTTCTACATTATCCCTTTTATATTATATATACCCGTTTACCTTTGAGTAGCAGCAACTAAATGTTCATCCTGAACTCCTTTTATTATTACTCTGGAAACATGCATAAATAGGATTTGAAATGCTTCTTAACAAATGTCATCAAATCACCTAAATGGATTTCTGCTACCAGAAGTGAGCAGCCCTGTTCCTGAAGAATATCAGGCTGAAGAAGAGAAGAGTGTGGTAGAAAGGAAAATACAGCAAGAGCTGGTGCCACCAGAGAAGCCACAAACACAGACTACAGAGGAGGTGATTCCGAGCAGAGTGGAAGCAGAGGAGGTACAGAAAGAACAAAAGGAGCCGGTGACAAGGGATTATGGGAGACCACGGCCAGTTGTTCTTGAGCAGAGAGCAGCACAGCCTCAAACAGATGAAGACGACGACTGGTTTGCCATTTTGGGTGATTCTCCTAAAAGATCAGGTACATGCTCTCACACAATCACTGTCATGCACTCAGAAAACAAACAAGAAATCAATGTGTGATAGATTGTGTTTGTTTCAGTGCCCTCTGTTGAGCTGCATGAAGAGACCAGAGAGGACATGATCTGGAGCGGAGTGAAAACAGAGCAGATAAAACAGCAGATGCAGGTGGCAGAGGATTATGGGAGACCACAGACACTTATTCTGGAGCAGAGAGCAGCACAGCCTCAAAGAGATGTGGAGGACGACTGGTTCATCATTTTTGATGTTTCTCCTAAAGAATCAGGTATGCCATGTTTCTTAGTGTGAATTTCCTTTGTCATCATCCTAGAACATCATATAACAATATTCCTATCAACAACGACAAGTGTATGTTTATGGTTAGGATAGGTGTTGATTCAGGAGCACATCTATACCACATCAGGTTTGGGACACATTTCATTAGTTGAACTGGCCATACATCACAGGAAGTTGAATTTGAATTGATAGAAGGCTCTTACTGAACTGGAACTCATAGCATCAACATTTATTTGACTTATTCGTCCAACATTCTTTTTAAAACAAATGATTAATAATTGCTCAATTAATACTATCTAATTACATCTTAATATTCCCTGATTTGAATACTTATTTTTTTAAGAAGTATTTAAAACAACTAACAGATTGTATTTTTGACATACAGCATTACTACAGTGAATGAATGACCACCATATTGTTCCAGACAACCACACGAGCACACATCGAAACATTCATCATTCATTGTTTGTTTCAGTGCCATCGCCTCCACAGCTGCGAGGCGCAACTGTTGGGCTTAATAAGGAGACCAGAGAGGAGGAAGTTCAGAGGAGAGTGAGGACTGAGGAGAAAGTGGTTGAGGTGATGACCGTGACCACTAAAGAACAAACGACAGTATCAGAGAAGAAAGTGGTTGAGGTGATGACAGTGAACACTAAAGAGCAAATAACAGTATCAGAGAAGAAAGTGGTTGAGGTGATGACCGTGAGCACTAAAGAACTAATAACAGTACCAGAGAAGAAGAGGACGAGCGTCGTACAATCCCCACAGTTTCCAGTGGTGCCCAGGGAAGTTGATGACGACTGGTTTCAGCTTTTTGACAAAGTGCCTTATGAGGACAAGAGTTTTCCATCAGGTGAAGTACTTCTTTCTGCAAGCATAATCACAATCAAATTCACATTTCACAATTCTGATACAGTATGTGTGTGATAAAGATTCAGTTGTAAGACAATTCACCCAAAACATCTGTCATCAGTTATTCGCCCTCCTGTCACTGCAACTTTTTTCCCTCCATGTAACAAATAAGAGATTATTAAGTAGAATATCCAAGCTGCACATTTCTGAAAAACAAACATGAAGTAACTGTGGCATTTATTATTTAAAAAAAGTTGATAATGTTAACTAAAACTAAGATTATTAAAATCGTTAGAAATGTATTAGTAATGTTGCAATGGCAACTGTCACGAAATTAGTGTATTAATGTGCGAGGACTTAAGTGCAACACAATGGGTATATTTATTGAGAAAAACACAAAACTACAACAAAAAGGGAAAACTAGACAGAAATCAGGCAGGATACAAGAAACACTAGAAATATGGATAACATGTACAACGAACCAGTGGACAGCCATTAGCAAAAGACCCCGGACCCCATACTCCCTGAGCACCCTCCACAGACCGCCGCGAGGGACACAGTCGAATGCCTTCTCCAAATCCACAAAGCACATGTGGATTGGTTGAGCAATGAACCCTCCAGCACCCTGGAGAGGGTATAGAGCAGTCCAGTGTTCAGTGTTCGAAGTCCAGTGTCCCCTTCTTAAAAAGAGGGACCACCACCCCAGTCTGCCATCCCAGAGGCACTGTCCCCGACCGCCACGCGATGCTGCAGAGGCGTGTCAGCCAAGACAGCCCCACAACATCCAGAGACTTGAGGTACTCAGGTTCAGAACTCATCCACCCCCAGTGCCTTGCCTCCGAGGAGTTTTTTGACTACCTTGGTTACCTCAGCTAGGGTGATGGACGAGTCCTCCTCCAGGGATGGGGTTGTCAAGGCCCCCACATTCGACTGCCGACTGATCTTCTCAGCACCGGCCCCTTACGGTTCTTCCTGCAGGTGGTGAGCCCATAGAAAGCCGGCCCCACGTCGCTCCTTTGGGCTGAGCCCGGCCGGACCTCGAGGGGGGAGGCGCTAACCGGGCAACGTCACAATCCTTGATTTAATTTTACTCATAAGGGATTTTGAAGCGCTCTTAGTCTGACCTGTCGCCTAGAACTGGTTTGCCTTGGTAGACCTTACCAGGGGCATATAGCCCCAGACAACATAGCTCCTAGGGTCGTTCTTTAAAATGAACTTAAAAACACAAGCTAATTCAAAATATTATTAAATATATTTTGACACTGTAGGTTGAATCAAAGGACAAAGCAGGATCCACATGCAGCAGTTTTAATTAAACAGACATAGACTATAGAACGACTCAGGAACAGCACAAACAACATTACAAAGTCAAGAACAGGACAAACACTGATACAAGACACAGGGTTTAAATACAGAGATTAACAAGCTAAACAAGATAACAAGGAAACAATTAACAGATACAATTAAATCATTCTAGAAAATAATAAATAAATATTATTTAAATATAAATAAAATATTAGTATTTTTAATGACATTCATTTTTCTCAAACCAATTTTTTGGTAATTCTAAGCGGAAATCTAACAACCTTTTGTGAGATTTGGGCTTCAGACAAGAAAAAAACAAAACATTTTACCAGTGGGTTAAGAAAAATAATCTTATACCATGATAGGAGTGACTAGATAAATAATAATCTTATACTATGATAGGGGTGAGTAGTTAATGAAAGAATTTGCATTTTAAGTGTTTTATATTGTGAGAAAGCTAATGGGTTTTTGCAATTACTGACACACTTCAATATTATTTTCATTGACAACAGGTCATTTCTCATTTTTAGTGTCTGTCACACCAGAAACTCGTGTTGTGTCTGTTGCTCCTTTGGAGGCTGAAGAAAAGAGAGGTGTTGGGAGGAGAAAAGAAGAGGTGCAGATGAAACAACAGGAGCAGGTGAAAGTGAATTATAGAAGGCCAGAGCTACTCGCAGAGTCTGAAAGAGACATAGACGACGACTGGTTCATCATTTTTGATGTTTCTCCTATAGAATCAGGTACACACACTCACACACACATACAGTATAATCACAAATGCACACACGAGCACACATCGAAACATTCATCATTCATTGTTTGTTTCAGTGCCGTCGTCTCCACAGCTGCGAGGCACAACTGTTGGGCTTTATGAGCAGACCAGGGAGGAGAAGGTTCAGAGGAGAGTAAGGACTGAGGAGAAAGTGATTGAGGTGATGACCGTGAACACTAAAGAACAAATAACAGTACCAGAGAAGAAGAGGACGAGCGTCATACAAACCCCACAGTTTCCAGTGGTGACCAGGGAAGTTGATGACGACTGGTTTCAGCTTTTTGACAAAGTGCCTTATGAGGACAAGAGTTTTCCATCAGGTACAGCACCACACATCCTTTAAACACTATCATAGATGTATAACAATAATAGTAAAAAATCAATAAAAAGATTAACTCAATAATAGTTAATGGAAAACCACATACCAATACATTTTAACATGAGTTTTATGTGTGTGTTTTTATGAATCTGTGGTACAAATAATTTAACAAGCTTCTCATGAAGCAAAACAGCTACAAAAGTGCACACAAACCCCATTGTTTACTGTGTTTTTTAGATGTCAGAAGCACAGATTTTGAGGTCTGGGAAATCACCAAAGACCAGAGAGTTCAGAGGGTGGTGGGGGAGCAGATGAGAGAGAAAAGACTGATCACTGAAGAAAAGACAGTGGTCATTGATGAGCACAGAAAGAGAGCTGACGTTGTTCCGCAGATGATTCCCACCAGGCTTCAGGAAGTTGATGATGATTGGTTTGAACTGCTTGACACAACACCTTCTGAGAAGAGGAGCGTCCCTTCAGGTGGGTGCCCATCCTCTGGTCTATCTTGGTATTGCTTCAGGTGAGAGGCATGTTGTAATCAGAATATGTTTGATCAGTGGTTTCAGTGGCCACTGTAGAGCGTAGGATTAAAGAACAGGAGGACAGAGAGAGACAGCAGGAGATGAGAGTGAGAGAGGAGGAGAAGAGGAGACTAAGAGAACAAGAGAAACGAAAACAGGAACTGGAAGCCAGAAGAGCTCAACCATCTATTACTCTGGCAACAGAAGTACAGCCTCAGATTGAATCAGAAGATGACTGGTTCATTCTGTTTGATGTTTCACCACAAGAAACAGGTGCATACACACTTATACATAGACACACACTATTTACTGTTTTTGAAAGTCTATTGTGCTTATCAAAGTTGCAATTATTCAAAGAGACAGTAAATCAGTAATATTTTGAAATATTATTATAATTTAAAAATACAGGTTTTATTTAAATATATTTTAAAATGTTCTGTGTTGGCAAAGCTGAAGTAGAAAGTTCAACAGAACATATTCTATTTCAAATTGAAATCTTTTGCAACAATATAAAAATCACTTTTGATCAATTTAATGCGTCCTCGCTTATATCTTACTGAATACCAAATTTTTGTATGTATAATCTTTTTTAAAAATATGTCCCATTTACATACAAAATAACATACTGTATTTGGGACAGATTTCACTATTACACAGTTGGCAGTCTTTGTCAAAAAAATCTTATTCTCTACTCTAAATTGTTGCAGATTACCTTAAAGTGGACAGGAGTGCTGAGGAAAAGAAGAGGAGAAGAGAAGAAGAGAGGAAGAAACAGATAAGAGTTGAGGAAAGACTAAAAAGGCCAGCTGTACCAGAGAAAAGACCAGTACAGCTGCAGACAGCATTGGAGGACGATTGGTTTACCCTTATAGGGGCTTCCCCTAAAGATTATGGTATGTATCACAAACAGAATCATAAACACTTGATTATAAGAAATTAATATTTTCTAATGTCTGTCAAACCTGTTACCATGTATTCTTGAACATCTCTCTTTCTCTAGTTGCCACTCTTCCACACACACCTGTTATTTCCCCATTGGCTCCACCCAAACCCCGCCCACAGATCCCAGCTGACCAACCACTGACTTCCACTCCGTCCGCACAAGCTGTGTCCATTACAAAAACCCGTCAGGAGAAGACAAAAGACATCCTGAACATCACACTGGAGTCTGAGGTTACAAACACACTCATACTGTAAACTTCACATACACATAAAAGAACATGTGAAAGTTTCAATCCTCTAAACATCATTTCTCTCTCTCTTAACACTAACAGGCTGAGACTCAGTCCATGAGGGTGAGACACTCATCTATTTCTATCATCTTTGTCATGATAATACTTATCCAGAACATATTAATCCATAATTGTGTTTTTTTTTTCTTAGTCACAGATATGGAAAAAGAAAATTGAGGGAGAGAGCATTTATGTTCGTCACAGCATTCTGATGCTGGAGGTTTGTGAAGTGTTTAAAATTGATATTGGCTCGTCTACTTTAATGGTAATCCTATACTAAATTAATCATAATATATGGTCTCTTTAGGACTTGGATGTGTCTCAGGAGCTGATTTTAAAGCACCAGGCCAGCATTACTGAACTTAAGCGTGTCTTTATGGAGGTCAAGGAAGATTTCGGACCCACTGAATGGGACAGACGTCTCTCGTCATACTCACCTTCTGGCAAAGCTCAGCTCCCCCATTTCAACGGCGAGATACTTGTCAGAATGGGCTTAGTGAGTTGCATACATACATGTATACACACACAACAGCATATAGTTATAATGTGCTCAACAAGGAATTATTAAAAATAGCTGTGGCTCTCAACCAGAGTAAGTATAATTTATTTAAATTTAAGTCTTAATTAAATTTTTTACGATCATTATTACAACAGAAGTACCATTGGTACATATCAGCTTAGATAGGAGGGCCTGTATATTGTCTTGAACAAAGGGGGCTTGGAATCAAAAAGTTTGCAAACCACTGATCTACAGTATCTAGATGTGAGACAAACACAGGGATTTAGGGATGGATCCAACCTCAAACAGCTTTATTGTTCCAGCACCTTTCATATTAAAACACACTCCTGCCTTTAAAGTCTTTTAAATGCTTTTTTAGAAAAGACTGTGAACCAATTGTGACTGTAAAATCTTCTTTTGCAGATTGAAGAGGATGAAAAAACAGTCTTGTTTCACCAACAAGAAACAATATATGTTTGAATTCAAACTGCCTGAACAGTTCATTTCTACGCACTTGCATATAATCAAGGATGTGAATATGTGGAAAAAACAAATGCTTTGCATGTTTTATAGAATATAATCCTCTTTTGCAGATTTCATGAATTTGATCAATGTAATTTAACATTGTTGATAGTTGTTTACTTGAACACTGGCAATCCACAATACTATATAATTTGACATAATTTTATTTTTATAGACCTTCAAACTGAAAATCAATACAAATCTCAAGCTTCAATTTAGTTTATTTTAATTTAACTGCTTACACCTATTCAATTATAATCAAAAGGAATAAAAGCTGTCATATGCACTGCCAAATTTGAGATGTGTTTATTCTATGTTCAGTATGTGGCACACTGTCGATTTCTAAACATGTTCAGCAATTTTTTATATATTTTTAGGCACAAATCTAAGAAAATGATAGACAAATTGACGCATATGAAAAATAAACATAATTCGAGTCTGAAAATAATTCAATGAAGTTAATTTATCTTGTTTTAAGGATGTTTAGATATTTTACTGTAAAACAAGACTAAATTACTAATAAAGAAAAGAAATTCTAGCACATTTTAGTCTACACTGAGCTCTAATGAAATTTGTGATTTATTTGGTGGCTAAATTTCCTTGCAAAAAATGCATCTAATCAGAATGCACTTTTTTTTGCAGATAAATCATCCACAGAGCAGGGGCACATTAAATCATGATAACCAACCAAATCCTGCATTTTATACTCACTGACTATTGAAAAGACCATGTTTCATACATGTTTCTAAGCTCTAATGCTGTACTAGCTGTACTGGTTTTGCAGCAGTCGTACAGTTCCGGATTAACCCACACTAATCAAAACAGAGCATTACTCACTGCGGTATGACTGCATGTGACTGATACCCACTGTGTGCTGTGACTTCTAGAAGCTTGTCTTTCAGACCGTCTCTAACGATTTAGGCATGTTGTATGCAGAACAATTAAAGGTGCAGTAAACAATTTCTGAGAAACATCAGTGATATTTGAAATCACCAAAACAAACACGCCACTAACTAAAAGGATAATTTTGATAGCCCCGCCAAACTTTGACAGGTATGACATTGTATTGTTTCATTCGAACCGAACATGATGATTGGATTGGATTTGGTCCTAAGCCTTAGATGATACACATTTATAAAAAATACATTAAAAAAAGTTAAACATGCATGCTTCATATGAGGAGAATTTCAAGACATGTAAGCTTATAAGCTTATATGTGAAAAAAGTAGGCTGTTTAATCACACTACAAGGCATAGGGCTAAGAATACTTTTAACTATATTTAATCAAAAGATATGCCAAATATACTCAGTGTAAGTATACTTAAGTGTAATTAAAGTATATTTATGAGTTGTAAATAAAAATTAGCCAAAGTATACTAATAGTACACTTAAATAAACTTGTTTTTTGTAAGGGCAGGACTAGGAGAATCTGTCTGTGTGCACACATCTTTTTATGTGTCTCACAGGTGGCTGCCTTTCATATTTGCTCTGACATTTAAGTGAACTATAAAGACCACCACAACAACAATGTGGCATAGTGCAGTCTCTATTCTTTTGTACTTGAGTGGGTGGGAACACATACAAAATAGGATCATTTATAATTGATTAGGCCTACTTAAAATTCATGTGAACAAAAATCTACAAACAAAGCCTTATGCCACTCTCATAAGTCAGATTACAATCTATCAATCAAATAAAAAATTAAAATGAATGCACAAGGTAAATAGCAATAGCACTGCATAAGCGTTTTATAAAAGAGTTCATTCAAAACTTAAAAAATAAATCTCTATTTGAGATTAGCAATTTAAAAAAAGAAGCGTTCTGTGACAAGAAGCCTATGTCTGGGTAAAATAGTTTCTGAATAATGTGATCTTAAAATCTTGAGTGATCTTTTACTCTTTAGAGCCATAGTAAAAAAAATATATATATATTTTTATTTTTATTTTGTTTTACCTGCAGTTGCGAATGTAAAATCTGTATACTGATGTAATAGAAAGACTGTGTAGGCTACTGCGACATGACGGCATGAAACGACTGCCTCAATAAACAGATTTGATCAAATTTTACTCTTGAGAGCCGGTTTTAGTAAATCAAAAACCTGCAGCATGTTCAAAAAAACATTACCAGGTTGAATACGTTTGAAAAACTGCCCAGTAATAATTACAAAATTAGCACAGAAAGAAATGTAAGAAAAATGCCTATTACAACAGAAATATCCCAAAAAATTGAATAAAAATAGAAGAATCGAAACAAATTTGGAAATCTATCTCAGCCCTAACATCTTTAGTTTGACTTGAATATATATTTACATGTGGACAGTGAGGACAACATGTAAAAGACTGCCGATCCTTTAGCCCAGTGATCTCAAACTCAATTCCTGGAGGGCCACAGCTCTGCAGTTTTGCTCCAACCCTAATCAAACACACCTGATCCAGATCCATTGAGCTAATCAAGGTCTTCAGGATTACTAGAAACTTCCTTACAGGCGTGAGTTGGAGCTGGTTGGATCTAAACTGTGCAGAGCTGTGGCCCTCGAGGACTTGAGTTTGAGATCAATGCCCTTCTTTGCTCAGTGTAATAAGAGATAAATCTGCTGGATTAACTTGTGTTAGCTCGACATTTGTTATATTTTCCTCTCCCATATTGTTCCTGTATGTCCGTTCAGGGAGAGGTTGAGGCTCTGGGTCTGAGCGGCCAATCAGGCAGTCATTGAGTTTAATGACTGGCAAGGCCAATGTTCCCATGTTTCTGTGATCTCTGAGAGGTGATCCAGTCTCCAAGTTTACCTGACTGGAGCTACATGAGCCAGAGGATGGGGAAGAGAACTTTAGAGTGGGAATTCCCACCCCTTCTTCTAAGCAATGAATGTTGACCTCAGAAAAGTCCAATGTACGCATGTTCATTTCTATTTGTGAGAATCCTTTTGAATCATTATTCCTATGAGTTTGTACTTGTGGCAGGATCTCTTGGTCCTCTTTATCTCGGTCTTGTTTGTAACGTTTTTCTTGGTCACGATTTTCATAGAGAACTGTATTGGCACAAATAAATATGAAAAGCCCCACCCCCATGATGACAGGACCAATCAGCTTCAGTTTCTCTGAAGAGGTGCGTCCAGTTGAAACATGATGTGGTGTTTGTTGTCGGCGGGGTTGACTGTTCCAATACCCCATCACAGCGACGGCGATTCCTACTATCAGCAAAACACCAGCAAACAACAAACAAGCCCCTGGTGTAGATCGCAGGTGCAGTCCACCAATCACAGGCCCTGGATCTGTCCTTGATGGTGGAGTCTTTGACTCTGGGACTGTTACAGCAACTTTTTCTGTGGGATTTACCTCAGACATTCTCCTGGGAATAAATGCAAAATAGGCTAATGGACTCCAAATACTCAAGCAAGCCTCTGCTATATATATATATATATATATATATATATATATATATATATATATATTAGATGACAACTCTTTGCATATCGAATGCATGCATTATAATAGTAATCCCAGCAGTTTCTCAGAAGCATTTATTTGTGGGGAAGACAACTAACCCTTGACAATCCTTTTAAAACTGCTGTTTGACTGTTTTCATCTCTGCTCAGTAAGGGCAATCTGTGTAGTTTTATCCTTACTTGTTTTGGCTGTTCTTTTTATATTTTATAGGTCGCAATAACTGAAATCAACGAGTAAAGGCAACAATACCATTTTATAAAATGTTCCCACCTTGAAAGCTGTCTGCTCAGGAACTACTGATCGTTATGGTCATAATTGTGGTATTGCAAACTATTCTAACTCGAACCTTCTGGGGAAATGTTTTAAGATAAAAACTGAAAGAGTTGTCGGAAGTTTAGTGATGGTGACGTTGTCAAGATGGTGAAGTTGAAGTTGTCAAAAAGAAAAGTCCATTTGATATCATGGTGACTTTAGAGTGGCCTTCGATTTGTAAAAAAAAAAAAAAAAAAAAAGTGGAGTTTGTCTTCCATTGGTCAAACATACAGATAGTCCTGCCCTAAACACATGCCATTGGTTGGGCAAATTTTTTTCAGACAGAATAATCACTTACACTTTTGCAGGGAAATCAACATGAAAATATGTTATAGTTGTCCTGTAAACACTTTAGCTTTAAGATAACAAACCTTATGGGTGTGTCTTCAAAATTATATATTTAAGCACGAATCCGCAGTACAGAATGTCTATTTCAGTACACACTATTTCATACTCATCGTGAACATAGAGGTATATCAAGTCGGGACATCAGCACCTGAAGTTACTTAATACCACTTAAACTCACCTCAGTTTATCCACTGGAAACACATGATTGGCAACGGTCCGTCTTAATTGCTTCAATGACGTAAGAGCCACCTTGCAACGAGTCTAATCTAATCATGTCGAAGAAGATGCGCAAATCCATCAGTCCTCTAGCCTTAGCAAACGCGCGTATCATGAGCGTGAGGGGAGGCGCATTTACTTTAAAATGACGCCAGTGACGTGGGAGTGAGCGAGCGAGAGAGATACTGTGGTTAGAGGGTCATGGGAACATGTGTGCAAGCCCTTTGGGTCCCACGGTGGTCAGAATAACCTATTCTTAGAGTGTCTAGGGAGTCTTTGGGCCCAATTCAAGTTTTTTTCTCCCTAACTCAGACTGTTATTTTGTATTATATATATTTTTTATATACATAAACAACCTTTTTTATTACAAAAATAATTTATGCTATGCTAAATAACCAAGCAAAAGTTTTAGACCTGCAAACAAAAACAGCAGAACAGAGCAGAAAATTAGTGTGTAATGAAGTCTGGGAAGTTTATTCATAGTAGTTTTTTTTTTGTTTGTTTTTTTTCAGTTGCTTTATTTTTGTAATTTAAAACAGTTTTAAGAAGATACTTTTTATTTGCAATCTTTTTTTATTATTATTACAATTTCTCAAATGCTCTCAAACCCAATATGCATAACTGCATAAAAAAAGACACAATAGTTACTCCATGCCATTTGAGCCTCTGCATGAACTTAAATTTCAGTTTTATGCAACCTTTAATATCATTATGAATGAAAACAAAAAATAAAAACAAAAGAGTTCTGTTTGTAATCCTTATTTATTCTCCTTCGCTTTATTCATGCATCCATTCGGGACTGAAACTCAGAAACACAATCTGTCACACATAAACAGTCTGCTCAGAGAGACATAATCTACACACTCACACACACACACACACATCAAAGAAAACAATCAAAATCTAATACAAACTCATCCTTGACGCAAACCACTGTAGTTGGGATTTCCTTAAATCTTGATTTTCCATCACCACCCAAATGCCAACTTGTAATCAAGTCAATGATCTGCAGACTAATATCAATTTTATTTAATATTTTAGCTTTTGTACAACCATTTTCTGAGTCTTCAGCTTCTCCACTTTCAACCCTACCTGGATCTATTATCCTGACCTAATGCCATAAGAAGAACCTATGCATGTGTGTATAATGACAACTTTGAGAAGCACTGCAAAAGCCAAACCAATGCATGAAAGTGCAGTGATTCCAACATGGCTGAGTAAAATCAGTCGAGAATTACAGCTGTATAATAGAGCAGGTCATGGTTGTACAAAAAGCTTTTGCTCGGTGAATGACAGAACAAAATGTCTTGGAACTTAGGAATGCTTGTACAAGGCGAAATGTCATGGTCTCAGGAGCTGAAAATACACGCTTACCACACACACCCGCTCAATTCTAATTCTATTTTCAGTGTCTAGTGAGTCAATCACACTGTCCAATTCACTTCAACAAATGTACAATATCTTCAATTTACAAATGCATTTTACAAGATCACACATTTCATCTGAAGTAAATACAAACTTGAGACATTCAATTCCAGATTTGCCCAGAGCAAGAATTCCCTGACATTAGTTGCAAGCACACATGTACCAGTATTTTTATACATGTATACATGCACAAACTCTCACGCGCGCGCACACACACACACACACACAATCCTGCTGCCCTCTAGTGGTCTCAAACAGGATAATTTGGATTATTTGGGATTTGTTCAATTGCAAACAAAGGTCTTTTTGCATTTAAAAAAAAGTAAAAGCTCCACAATCATGCCTTTCAATCGTGCCTCTGGCACCAAATGCAATTAGTCGTCATTTTAGCAACTGTAAAAGCATAAATATCAACAATGAAATAGTCCAGTTTAAGCTTTCAACATTTTAAGGTGCCTCAGTATAGTGTGCTCACCCCACCCCGAGTCTAATATAAATCAAATGATCTATTTCAAAAGAGAATATCAGACCTAATTTAGAGCGAGTGCAGGAAGGGGAGACATCAAATATTTATCAGCCTTAAGAGACGTGATTTTTCTGATCACATACAGTTTGTTGGATCGGCTGATTTTCAATGTCCGTCAATCATAAATGAGACCAATGATTGAGCATTTGTCAGTCCGCTGGACACATCGGTGGAGAGCAACTTTCAAACGTGTTGTTTGATGGAGCAGCAGTTGCTATGAGGTGTCTACTCTTCATCTGCGCTCTTCAGCATGAGGATAGAGTTATAAATTTTGAGAGCGGGGCCGAGCTTGATGCTTAGAATCTTTACGATGTCTGACTGAGTAAGGAGCAGGAAGGCCTCACCATCAATTTGCTGTAGGAAAAAGAATGGGCAAAAAACAAAAATACACAGAAATTACATTAGTGCTAAATGTGATGAATTAGTGCAAATGACTCAATACCCGAATGTGAAGTATTGTAATTTATTTAACCAACATTATCAATTAAACCAGGCCCTGAATTTCGTTCAGCAACGACATGTTTGCTCATTTCTGTGTATTTGTGGTTTTACAATGAGGTAATTTTGTTATGCAATATTGCTTACACACAGCACAAGAATCTTGATTTCAAACTTTGAATTGAATTTACAAACCATCAGTAAAATAAGAACAAATACATTAATAGCAGTAGCACAAATAAATACAACAGAATAAATATAAAAATGAATGTTATTTTCAGACGTAATGTGTTGCGTATACATAAAGCCATATATAAGAGCGAGAGCGAAAGAGAGAAGTCGTAGAACCACTGAATCACTCAAATTATTGATTTGATCTGATATTCTGTGTGTATTAATTTACTCCTCTTATCTATTCTACATGCTATAGTAAAAACATTTTTGTAGGAATTAATTTCCTGCATAATAAGTGCGAAAACTGTGAGAATTAATAAAACTACGGTATATGCAATATCAGCAATCCCGCAGAGAAATTTAGGCACTGATTAAAATGTTTACAGATGTTTACTGATTACAGATGTTCATGGAAAAAAGTTCCATGACTTTTCCAGAACTTTTTGAGTTTCCAGGCCACGAAATTGCTATTTTAAAATCCCTTATCAGGGTTTTCAGGACCATACAAACCCTGCTGGAATAATGGCTGCAGAAAATTCAGCATTTAATAAATATTACAAATACAGTTATTTTAAATTGTAATTAATAATGTAATACATTTATCGATAAATTGATAAATAAATTGTAATTAATTAATAATAATTAATATTAATTGCAATTAAATTGTAATAATAATATTTTGTACAATATTACTGTATTTTTGAACAAATAAATTACAGCCTTGTAAAGGGGATACTCAACTTTTTTTGGAAATAGGCTCATTTTACAACTTCCCCAGATTTTTACCGTTTTTGAATCCATTCAGCCGATCTCCGGTTCTAGCGGTACCACACTTTTGGCATATCTTAGCATACATCATTGAAGTGCACAAGACCATTAGCATTTCTCAACAAAAAAAAGACCAAAAAGTTTCAATATTTTTTCTATTTAAAACTTGACTCTTCTGTAGTTACATCGTGCACTAAGACCGACAGAAAATGTAAAGTTGAGATTTTCTAGGCTGATATGGCTAGAATCTAGAATCAGTTGTAAAATGAGCCTATTTCCAAAAATGTGGAGTATTCCTTTAAGTATAAGAGACTTCTTTCAAAAACATTGGAAAAAACCCAACCCCAAACTTTTGAATGGTAGTGTATATAGGGAAGGTACATTCCACTAATTTTCACAAGTAAAGTTGATGTTTTAGTTATTTACCTCCTTCCTGAAAGTGGCAGCATGCTCTCTACAGCCAGGCAGGCCTCGCACAAAACTTGAAACCTGAGAGAACAACATTGTCAAATAAGATGCATTAAAAATAAATAAGTTTAGAGGACCGCTTTTAAAGTATAAATGAACTTTTCTAGAGTTATCAAATGCCACCTCTTCAGTGCTCCACTTTGCCACTCTCTTGGCGGTGAGGCCCAAAGCTTCAGGCAGCAGTTTGCCATGCTTTTCCCAACACAGCTGAAACCTCGGTGGCTCCCATCCACAAAACACAGACTCATGCAGGAACTGCTGAAGAGAATCTACAACACGAATAGGATTTATTCATGACATGCCTTGCAAATGTTCTCATATGTCAGTCATTGGCAAATAACAGTGCTACAAGATGAAGAAAAGGTTACTAGTTCAAAACACAGGTGCCAAGTTCTTAGAAATGTTCTTTTGTATTCAGGTAGCTTCGTATATGTTTGACATTTTTTGAAAAGTTTATGTAGTGTTATTTTATGTATAGTGAACTAAAGCTTGTCTTGTTATAAAAAGGTCAGATTACCTTATTGACCTTGACAGTCATGACAGCATGCATTTCTGATATCATTTTCTGCTCATGTTAGTTGTCATGGCTTTGATTTGGTGGACAAAAGTGAGTAAAGCAGTTTAGTTAAGATATTTGTATTCTTAGAAATAAAACTTGAATTTTAAAACAATAATAAAGCTTTTTTTTCCTTCATTGTGTTCTGAAATTAAAAATCATAGATGAAGTGTAGTCAAGCCATTATATCTATGAATTGTTTTATAATTATTACACATCCAGGCAAAAAACCAAGCATCGCTTCATTGACCCATGTACAAAATTCTCAGAAGTTATGGATTATCCACAAAAAAAGCAAATTAAGCCAAAACATCACAATATCTGAAGAATCTATACCTTTTCCATCACCTTCCTGCTTCACTTGGGGTGGCTTGACACATTTAGGAGCTGTACCAGACCTGAAGAATAAGAAATAGATAAAAAGTGAGCGTGTGTGTGAGAAAGAGAAAAGTTCAACTGTACATCACTGCTGACACTCACACAATGTGCTCACGCACTGCCCGAGCTTGTGGACAGGTGTCTGTGGTGGTGTCAGGGGGGTCTGGGGTGCTGGCGCTGGGTGTGGGTGTGGGAGGCTGCGTGTGAGTGAGTGTTTCAGCACGGCGGTGGCGCGGGGGTCCACTGAGCGTGACTGGCCTCTCCCCACTCAGTCTGTCTGGAACCAACCCGTCTTTATTCAAATTCAGATCCGAGTATGGACAACTCACCGCCCTAACAATGGGAGAGAGACTCGTTTGCATTTGAATGCGCATTTTGAGTTGTGTTTGTAACAACACATGTATAACTTACGTGTAATGTGTCCCATACCGAGGTCCTCGAATGTGTCCGACCCCGTTGCATCCTTGGGTTGGGCAGCCTTGTCCTGGAGGGACTGGAGAATCTCTGGGCCCTGATAATATTACCATTACGAGTTAGATTATGTGGCCATGTGCTGAAATACTTCCGATTTGTGTGTAGGTCAGTATGTTACCGTTGGGGTGTTGTAGAGGATGACCTGTTTTCTGACACCAGCCTACTGGGTGCAGTTCTGGGCTATCGGCATCTAGCCAATAATCATACTCGTCACTCCAGCCGTCAAAATGGATCTATGTATATAAACAAAGATTTAGTGAAGGTATACTATCTGTACACGCTTATTAAATACTGTATGTCCATGTTGGCTTCTAATTAGACAAAACAGATATATTTGTGTGTAAACCTTGATTCTGTGGTCATCTGTATCAGAGATGGTGGAGACACGGATGAGTACGGCATTACGTTTGTCCACCGCCTCTAGCTTCATTCCAACTTGGAAGCCATGTGGTGGTCTCTGGATTACCCAGGATCAAAGGTCATTCAGAAAACAATTAAAATCATATTATATGATCAAATAATACATACTTAAATCAATCAAATGTATAAAACTGGACATGTAATTAATATCATTTTAGGGAGTGTTTCTCACCACTGTCACCTTTAGCTTGTCTGCTAACGTTTATCTGTTCATATTTATTATGAAGAGAGCTATACTAATAACTTTGAATTGTATAGAAGATTAAATTAAATTGTTTAAACACAAAATATGTAAAAAACAGAACATATCTTTTATATTATCATTGAATTAATTATGGTGTTTTTTTTTATCAAACTGCCTACTACTTTGAACCAGATCAAACGTGTTTTATTCTTTGTAAATTTTATTTCTATGTTGTTCAGGCTGACTCTACACTTTATCACCACACCAACTACAAGGACCTTTCACATGATACTTTACCAATTATAAAATATCATTTGAAAGGTCCTTGTTAAAACTATTATTTATCTACACCTCTCATGGTTCATTGCAATGATTTGAACCGTACCTGTTTAAAGGCTCTTGCTGGTGCAGCTTGGGTTCCAGTTTCTTCAAGGTACTTTTCCCATGAAAAACTCTTTGGGTGCTTATACTCTAAGAAAGACATACATAGACTTCCAATAATTTAATTTAATACAACTTGTCATGCACATTAGAGCTTGTAAAAAAAATAAATAATAAATAAGTCCAGGGGGTGCTATGGGGTCCGTGGTAAATTTGAGAAGGGGAAAAAAAAAAAAAAATACACTTGTTGTGTTTTCGATTCGGTTTTTGATTTTTCTTTTATGAAAAGTGCTATACTAATAAATTGAATTGATTAGAAGATGTTAGATGCACTGTAAATTGTAAATATTTTCCAGATAAATTCTATTGAATTTAGTACCACGCCACATAAACGCTACATATAAAAGTTAACAAAAAAAAAAATTCTGACCTGCAGGTGTGGTGAGTGTTAACTCCACCTCCTCACAGTACCCGACTGGATGAATGTACGGACTGCTGGCATCACACCTGAGAAAAAACAGAATGCATTTACAACCACATGCATATCGGGACACTCAAATGGCCAGTTTTCTGCTCACGATCTTACCAATAATCATACGTATCATCCCAGTTGTCAAAGTGAATGAGGAGCCGGTTGTCGACAGCAGCAGCAATGGTTGCAACGCAGATTAGTGACGGGTTCTTCCTGTCCACGGCTTCCAGCTTCATCCCAGCACGGAATCCCGACGGTGTGACTGACTAAATAGGGCAGATAACACATGGTTAAAAAAAGAACGGAAACTATTGAGATATCTCTTATTCTCTTGAAGTGTGTGCTTATGAAATGACATACTGTATTAAGACTCTTGAAGAGATGTTTGGGGGCCAGTTGACCCCTACAGTTCTTTACATATGTGTTCCAGTTAAACTCCCCATCTCTGCAACCTGTAAAATCATAATAAAGAACAGCATATGCAATACATTTTACTAGCAGAATATGCAGAAACTAAGTGTCCACAGAAAAAAAACTTTTTTAAACAACATGAAAACTATCCTAACACAACCCTGCTTCATTAAATTATATCTTAAATTATATTTAATCATATTTATTATTTATAAATAATATTGGTATAAATTACAATACTTGTAATTACAATACTATTACATCTATGTTGAATTTCAGAATAACAGAGAGACCAGTTTGTCATCACACAGTTCAGAGTGAATATTGAGTAGTTTTAACACATAAAGAAACATCTATAAAAAAGATCTACCGTGATACAGAAAACAAAAGTAGCGTTTTGCATGGTTGATCCTTGACAACATTTTTTTTTTACAGTACATCTTTATTACTACATTAAGCACCTTTTGGAAGCAATAGCTTGAGGCCAGTTTTCTCACACCAGCCTGGCGGCTTCACATCCCATGAGTCAGCATTTACCCAGAAGTCATAGCACTCAGGGTAACCATCAAAGTGAAGCCGAATCCTGTAACCTTGCACCTGGAACAGAGAAAATACATCTTACCCTAAGCGCAACCTAAAAACAACATTTAGTTTTGTGCTCCTAATAATCACACATCAAGGAAACATCACAGGTCAGGAACATTTGACCCTGGTTACCTCTGCAACGGTCAAAACACAGAAGAGAGCCGGATGACAGGGGTCCAGTCCCTCTAACTTCATGCCAACTTTAAATCCATTCCTACTCTGCGGAAACGACTGGTGCTGTATTGCAAACACACAATAACAAAATGATTGAATTTCATAGATGTCATGCTTTAAAAAAATAACTTTTTCCTAATGACAAAACTGAATTGACATCAAACTTACCATTCTAATCAGGATCCCAACCACACCATGTTATTTATTTAACCGAGAACAGAAATACAAGTTTTATATGCTGTGTTTCTCACCTCCTTAAAAAGTTTCAAAGGAGCGGCAATGGCTCTCTCCTCCTCCAAATAAGCTGACCAACTCCAGGTTTTCTTCTTAATAGGAGGTGCTGTCACTATGGAAACAGCGTTGCAAAAAGGCACTTTATATGGCTTAGAAAACCATGGAAAGGATGACAGTATGAAACTGACTGAAAATATTCATGACAATCTGTACAACCTGCTAAGACTCAAGTTGGCATGCACCAATTAAAAAATATTTTTGACAACACTGATAAAAAATAAATTAAGACTCAAATCTGTCAGTCATATTAAATGTATCTTGAATTTAAGCATCACAACATTATAATGTATAGTATGAATACAAATATTAATGTGACTATATTCATTTTAAGATTTGCCTAAGATTACATTTAACAGTGTTATTACATAATTTGTTTTATTTAATTTTTAAATAGCTTGAGTTAATTATGTGATTGTAAGACAGCAAATGTTATTTAAATAAAACATTTTAACCTTGATTAAAAAAATGGGGAAATGTCAATTAAACAAATGAATATCAGATGATATATATGTGTGTGTTAGCTAAATGAAAATTACCAACCTAGTCTAGCAACTTTAGCCGCTCGTCTTCCCTTCGAGGATTTAACCTTCTCCTAAAAAAAACAGAAAAAAAAAATATTTAAAAAAAACTGATCAATGCAGTAGTTCATCCCTGTTGATATTGAATGTGTGCTCTTTTGGTGTGAGATGTGTGTGTGTATTACCTCTTCCTCCTCTATGTTGTCCTCCTCTTCATCTCCAGATTCCATAAACATCTTCTTCTTCTTTCTCACACGTTTACCTAAACGCTCTCCTTCGAATGCCTCAGCTGGGGTTGACCTGCACACACAAAAGAACTTATAAATTCACCATAAACAGTGCAACTGGCAGATTTGTGAAACTGCCAAAAACATGCACCTGCCACTGGTAGGCTGCACACAAGGAGCACTGCAAAATTTGCCTTGTAGGAAAGACTCCTGTGAACCAGAGTGACCACAGGACCTGCAGTTTGCAGTGGGCTCAGTGATGGGAACAATGACATTGGGCACTGTACTCATGCTGGGGCTTTCCACAGAGCTGGGGTTCTTAGTGTTGATGCCCCCAGCCTGCCTGTGGTTGTCAGTGGAAACTGAAAAAAAAAAAAGAGAGAGAAATCGAGTGCTCAAAAATAAATAAAAGAGCAAATCATTCCTCTCTTTGTAGAAAAATCTGTTACATGTACTCACCCACAGCATTTGTCGGATGGTCTGTATTCAACTGGGGCTTTTCAGTCTGATTTGAAGTTTTGTTTTGCTCAGGGGAATTACTGTTGTTGGTGCTTGTAGTTTGAGGCTGTGGGCCTGTAAGCTCCGCCTCTTTAACTTTGGGCTCCGCCTCTGTGACAATCTCCAGGGTGCCAAATTCAGTCATCCGAAACTAAAAAATGACCAGATTTTGAGATTTTTCATCAGCACATTCAGAATATTCCAATATGTCCCTTGCATCACACTTTATGCATCAGATACACTTAATATTTGTACCCGAATGTCACTTCCAGGCAATGTAGCTATGCCGTCCTTCCAGTCAAGAGCGCTCATCATGTCAAAATCGGTTCCAGTGGCAGCAAGACCACCACTCTTAGATGTCTCTGTCATCGTTTCCTACAAAATGGAAAACAAAAGAGGAAAAGCATATTGTTACAACATGGATAGATGCCAGAAGTAAGAATCCTAAAAAACAAAAAGTATTCTCGTCGCTTGATAAATTTAAAGGGCAAGTTTGGTATTATAAGTTTGGTATTTTATTTTTACAATTAAAGCCCTGTTTTAAGATCATTTCTGATGAAATAGAACGGTTAAGATTGAAATTCGGACAAATGCTGCTGGCCTGAGAATTTTCGATTTCTGTGGTTGCAAAAAACAAGGTATTGACTATAAAGCTTGGAAGAACAATGATATTATTTAATATAACTCAGACTGTGTTTGGCTGAAAGAAGAAAGTCGTAAACACCTAGGAAGGCTTGAGGGTGAGTAATTTATGGGAAAATGTTCATATTTGGGTGAACTAACTCTAACCAAACTGTCTAAAACACCTCTAAAGGGCAAACAATCCTTTAATGTAGTGGTTCTCAACCTTTTTAACTCAATGATATCTGAAGGCCCCCTACCCTAAGTTTTGTTTTTTAAAACTTATTAATCTATCTACACTCTTAGTTTCTTTAAAACAAACAAACAAAAAAGTTAATAAGTAAAGTTAAAATAATAACATTTCAGGATTCAAGACGTTTTAAGATTAGTGTTTAACCAATTAACTTTGTCATTCGTGATTTACTGAATGTGGGTTATAGATAACAAAATATGTTCTACTTTTTTTCTTGAATTTTTTCCTGATGATATATCCTTGCACCTTGTTTTAGTAAACAAAACAAAACTGTCGTTTTCTATATTCGAATTCAAAACCGTGTTTTTGCGGGTGATGAAACGACCGCAACTCGAGATTACGAAATAGCCGCGCGTCGCTTGTAGTTCCAAGCAATTCCGCTGGAGGGCGACTGCTGCTCTTAGTACGGATTGCACCAAGCACTTAAACGAGGACAAAAATATGTATTTCTACATTGTTATGATGCTCATTTGTATGGACTAGCCATATATACCAACTCTCACTGACACACTTAAACTACTTTGGTGGTTATTAATGGAGGAAAGCGATTAAAAGTAAAGTTAGACGAACAAGTTCAGCTTTTCCTTGTTTTAAAATAATCTCGCTAAATCTGTGCTTTTAAAGAGGGCGGATAATCGCGGTGACAAGTTAAAACGTACATATTCACAAATGAGTAGTTTTCGAAGAAGAAAGTCTTTATTCAAGCACGTTATCGATGGTATACAGTAGGCAATAGTGTTTTAACGTTCTTGACCTGTCGTGTGTCTTAAATCAAAATATTATCAAAATCTCAGACTGTACAGTAACGGTGCCCCGCAAAGATCACCCTACAGCTCTTCTGGTTTATTACAAAACGTTTGTTTGGATATTTCAAGTGATGACTGAATTTATTCTGAGCATAAATAAAGTGCAATGCGCGAGCGCCCATTATTAGCATTCGACTGACACACAAAATGGCGGAGGATAGCAAAGGGCCGCCGACACGTCTAAAGTATGTAAATTATAACAGTTTTCTGGTCTGATTCACTACGCTCGGACCTTCAAACAATACGGGAAGGCCAAGTGTACAACTTGTTTTATTAAAACGCAATGTTTTCCCCTCCGTCAACAAACTCCTTACTTTCCCCTTGTCACGGAATGTCGTTAGCCCGACTGATAGCCCCGGCTAGCTGTAACATTAGCAGGGCAGCCTACAATAAACCAAATCAACAGTTTTACGTTCATATCCAAAAGAAAAACATTTCACGAGGTACTTTGAATGAGTTGTCATTTATCAGTATATAACCATAATAACTCGGGTGCATCCAGACCCGGAGAAATAACAAATTGCATGCTTTTAGTTTCTTCTGCACAAACTTGACTTCTAATTATCTTTACGGTTTTTGAACCTAGTTGAAAATAGTCGCAATGGTTGAAAATTGTTAAACAAGAAACGCACTTTGTATTAGTATCGTTGTTCACTGCGTGGGTGACGACATTAACGTCATATTTATTGATAAACGTGCAACTCACCTCGTTTCTCTCTTAACTCTTATTTAGACCTGGATGGTGGCGTTATTGCGCATGCGCCGGTTAATATGTGTCTGTCCAACTTCTACAGCCCCGATAAACTTCACCACATATTTGTGAGTGATTATCCTAATGTAACGGAGAATCAGAGGAACTGAGCCTTATAGTGTCCTTACATGACCCCGGCATTGCTTGATCCATAACCGTTTCAATCGGTGCTTGTTGCGCTAAAACAATCGAAGGCCTTATTATTATAGATATGGAAAATTATTTTAATCCCCTTTACGTTTTCACGCACTTTAAACAAAAAGAGAGCCCTTTGTAGTGTTCAAACGGGGTCACAAATGAATTAATTTTAATGGAATGCGTGCTCACTGAAACAAGCTGTTTACAGAGTGTGATTTTTGTATCTGTTCAGTTTACAGTCGTTGTAGCGGTGATCCTCTGATTTGATTTCCTGTAACCATCACGTGTTCAGGTTTTACTCCGCAAATCTCTTTTGAAGGGCTTACTTCGCCATATGCACAAAAAATAAAGAAAGGTAGAGCTTATTCATAAAACAACACTGCGTCGAGATTCAAACTGAAGTTCGTAATATTTAAATACAATGTTGTTTTGACAGACGCATTGTTGCAAAAGTGGCGAAAAGGAAGACGGTAAACTTAGCGAAGACGCCACAAGATGGCGATGTGAGCTTAAAAGTGGAGGTTTCTTCCTAGACTCGAGGTTGGCAGCAGCACGTTGTTTGTAAGTAGGTCTGAGGCAAATACAGGAAGCAGAAATTTGCCATTTATACAAGTAAAGTAGTGGAAATTATACATGTAAATGATCTGTGGATGACAATTGTGTTTTTCTTTGTGACCCATGTCTCAATTACAGTATAGCTTTTGCGCGAGTGGCCACCTGTGATTGTTTGTGATACCTTCTTTTTAAAGCACGTTAACTAATAAGCTACATAAACTTTCATAATAAAATATATCCAATAATTTAAAATAAAATAATTTAATTGTTTCCATTCCAAAATTAGACATTCTTTACTGATCATACAATTTCATTACAAACACTTACCAATCCCATCTTAATACTGTTCACAATTACATTCATTCAGATTTAATATTCTTTCAGTCTCACAACTTAATATCTCTTCTATAATCAAGCATCTTATGCAACCTGTAGTTTCACTTCATCTCATTACAATATAGTACAGCCAGAACACCATTAAACAGTATACTTCTTTACAAATATTTTTGTTTATCAAACAGGGCTAAAAAATAATTAAATAAGGTGAATGTTAGGAAAACAGTCCCTTTTGATAGAAACTCTGAAGTCATGTTGCAAAAGCATTGGTCCAGCTAACATGAAAAATAAACTGTGTTTACTCAAGTTAAAGATTATTAGAAACATGTTCCGACAAATTGTATTGGTCTGACAAAAAAAAAAAAAAACTGTCTTAGTGTCCACGAGTCAGTGAGAAAATGTTTTCACTGGTGTAGGTGAAGCCAGGAAAGGTTGCTCCAGACTCCTCACATGCTCCTAGCGAGTGTGGAACTGGAAGTTCTGTAAACCGAGGGTCAATGTTCATGAGGTCACCAGGGCCAGACTGAAATGTAAACAAATACAATTGTCCTGTAAGCACATCATTTACTCACACTCACATTTTCTTCCGTTCTAAATATATTTAGAAAGTACATTTTTTTCTGTACAATGGCAATTTGGATCCCATTGACTTGAAGAAAAAATCTTAAAAATATCATCTTTTGTGTTCCACAGAAGAAAAAAGTCATACTGGTTTAAACAGTAAAACAATCAGTAACAAACAGTAAACTCACCAGTAAGGGAACAAAAGGTGGAGAAATTTTCTTTGTAACAAGGTCATCCCAATGAATAGATGAGAAGAATGGATGAGACTGCAGCTCGGTCTATAGCCAAAAAAGGGGGCAAAATGACATTTAGCCACTCTTTCTTTTAGCAAGATAAACCAATTTCAGGTTGTGTGATTGTTCGTGAACGTGTCTGTGTGCTAGTTGGATTACCAGGTCACGTTTGACTCCTAGTCTCTTCGCCCTGTCCCTGTTCAGCAGTCTCTTCAGCAGATCTCGGCCTGCACTAGACACACCCGGTTTTAGAACCAGAGGCTGATAAATAATATTCCTGAGCATATCAAGACGATCCGCACTGTAGAAAGGTGGCTGGAATGAGAAAGAGTTTGTGTAAAACACACCTGTCTACCTGTATTATTTATCTATCTGAGCATTTATTGGTGGGTTTATTTACCAGGCCGTAGAGCATTTCATGGAGAACAGCGCCCAGACCCCACCAGTCCACAGTCCTGTCATATTCCTTCTGCAGGAGGACCTCAGGTGCTAGGTACTCTGGGGTTCCACAGAAGGTTCTGGTGGTGCCATGTCCACTCACGCCCTCCTTGCACAGGCCAAAGTCGGTCAGAACCACATGACCCACAGAATCCAGCAGGATGTTTTCTGGTTTCAGGTCCCTGTGAGCATGCGAGAAAGAGGGTTTACTGTAAATCTGCTGCAAGTTGGTGATCATTTTGTTCTTACTAAGCACAAACGAATGAGCTTATCGGCATTATACAGGCACAGATATTTCACAAGAGTGTTGTTACCTATATACAATCTTCAGGGAGTGTAAGTATCCTAGAGCACAGGCAATCTCAGCAGCATAAAATCTGGCTCTGGGTTCTCCAAACACCCCCTCCCTCTGCAAGTGGTAAAAGAGCTGCAAAAAAAAAAAAAAAAAACAGACATTCATTAACACAATAATACATACAAAATAGTATTATTTGGACTTTTGTATCATATAATTTATATGAATATTTGATAAATTGTTCCATCACAACTTTTTTGGCTTGAAGGCCCCACGCTGTCCAACACAATATTCGAAGTATGAACAAAACTATAAAATAATAATATTAACTAAAATGTATTCTTTACACTGGGATACTGGGAGTGTCAATATAGGTCCTATATTGACCTCAATTAATTTAGTTATTTAATAAAAACAGTAAATAGGAAAGAAAAAACAAATTTCAGATCATTTTAATTAAGTTTTATGTTTAAATATATTAATAGTATTAATCTAAATTATATTTATAATAATATATTAATTATATTAGAATAACATAGTAATTATCACTTTGTGGTTTGCTGATATGACCAAAATGTCCTGTAAATGCAGTTTTTCCTGAAATTGCTTTTCTAAATAACATGACTGTAGGCTTCGTCCACTATAATTGGCCTCGGAGTTGTGTTTTTTTCTTATTAAATTTTCGATTTGATATTCAATTACACATTGTATATTCAGACAGAAAGATAATAACTAAGAAAAAACCAGCCGAAGCTCAATTCTATGTTTATTATTAGTATATTATAAACTACTATAACTACTGTATATTATTAAAAATATGTGATAATTTGACAATAATCCTGTTATTGGCCTCTGACCTTTGATTTGGTCTCACCTCTATAAACAAGTCCAGATTCAAAGCTCTGTACTTGATTGCATTTATGTACCTACTTAACTATATTTCAGGGCTGAATATGTACTTATAAAAAATACTTTTGGAGTCCTCATTTGTATGGTACAGTATAGAAATATAGTACTTCAATTTTTGTTAATTGTATAAAAGCCAGTGTTTTCTGTTAGGGTTAGTGTGTGATTTAGGTTTGGTAGTAGTAAACATACCTCTCCTCCACATGCATAGTCCAGCACTAGATAGAGTCTTTCCTTAGTCTGAAAGCTGAAGTGGAGCTTCACCAGGAATGGATGATTAAGAGTCTTTAACAACACCCTGTGCTCACACATGACATTTCTTTCCTGTAAAAAAACCCCACAGAGTTAATACATACAGACACGTTATAAACCAAATAATTATAGTAATATACTCATAGTCATACTCGCCTCTTTCCTTGTTAAAATAATGTGTTTCTGTAGGACTTTGACTGCGTAGAATCTGCCATTTTCCCTGAGTGTGGCCAAGAACACCTGAATAAAAACATTCAAACCAGGTTTAAACAATATTTATACATTATAGGAAATGCAATGCAAAGTGGGCCTCTATAAACATTATACCTTGCCAAAGCTTCCCGTCCCGATAACCTTTAAGTAGTCAAAATCAGCAGCAGATACCCTAAAATCATATAGAAATAAATATTTATGTGTAATTGTATGTTTTTGTCCATATAGACTGATAGTTGAGCACACCACTTACCGGGATTGTGGCTCTTCTGTTAATGGATTACTGTAACAAACCTAAGAAATAGATTGGGGAGAGAGTCAGCAGCTTACTCCAGTGACATATGAAACCATATCACAGATCACTTCACTTCCTGTTACATCTATAGATTACTCAGGTCAACCAGTACAGCACCTAAATCAGTGCAGCTGACTTGACATTATGTTTCTGAAAGGACTGGATACCTTTATTAATACTTTAAGCAAGATATTGCTAGTAACCCCAGGACATGCAAGTGGACATGAGCTTGTTAAATTTCACTCACAGCTGTTGCTCCGTCATCCTCAGAAAGACTACCCTCAGGTCGCAAGAAATCCATCCTGGAATGAGAGAAACCATATCAGAGAAATGCGTCTGATTTTAACAAATTAAAATCTTTAGTTCTAGCTATTTTCTTATAAAATTGACCCAAAGTCAGCCAACACCTAGCAGTACTTGGCTACTTAGCTTCACATTGGAATGTTGTTATAAGTAGGTCATGGTCTTAAAGTTGCACTGGTGGTCAGTCTGAGACATGCAGTGCAACTGATTTTTCAGCTGATGTTTGAAGAGATAATGAAATAATAAGTCAATCTTCTGAACTCTGCACTGGAATGCCCTCAGAAGAACCATGTGTTGCTTCACTTTTAGCTCATGCAATGGAAAATGATGACTAGACTCACTGTCGATAGATTGGGTGGCTGGATCCAAGCTTCTTGTCCTTGATCAAAGCTGAGAAAATTAAATATTATAAGATTATTTTTATTACAACCTTTGTAAGACTAAGCAAACATTTATTTAAACATATTTAGCATTACTTTAAACTGGTTTACATTTTACAAGCTTATTTCCAAATATTGAATTTATATTTAGATAGATAGATAGATTTGTTTAATTTACTTGAACGTAAATTCTGCGTAATTTATATCTTACGTAGGCTATCTAATCCCAAAGATGTCTCTTCTTATTAAAGTTTGAGGGGAAATTATTTGAGCTCACCTGTAAAATATGAAACTATTCCCTTCATTTTTGCATAAGTGACGGGACTTTTATCCTTTTTCACCATGTTTTCGACGAGAAAGAAAGTCCTGGCTTGCAGCTGTGAGTCGTGAGTCCGTAGGTAGTCAGCAGTCTTACCGGTGTCGTGCCAAGGTACTTACCCCTGAAAGGAAGTGTATCCCCGGTCGCGGGAGCGCGCACGCATTCAGCAGGAGGTGTGTCATTACTTTGTCCAAGATGAATTAAACTATAACACGTGAATTGTTTAAGTCATCGTTTTACTGTTGTTGTTGTTTTGTTTTTTTTTATCGACGAGGTTTAGCAAAGACAGATATCATGTGGCCCATCAAAAACTAATTATTTTGTGGGCAAACGATCTAGCTTCATGCACGGAATGGATCAATTCTCACGAGAATGTACTGAAAAACTAAGACGACCATATCGTTTCACAAGCAAACAGCCCGTGGATATAAAATTGTTCTTACCCCCCCCCCCCTCCTCCTCCTTCCATGGTGAATTATTACCAAAATCATTCAATAATGCATTGCACTTATACATAGGCAAACAACGATTTTACCGATGATGGCCTATCATCAAGTGTTTTATTTTATGAATACTGTACATCATGTCTAATAACAGCAGTGAATATGAACACATTTCCTATTTCCTGACTAAAGTTATAGTGGGATACAGATTTTTTCAGACCGTATTTTCGACCTGCCAAAATATGTACCCCCCCCTAAAATCTACAGGTGATGGCCTATCATCTAGTGTTTTATTTTATGAATACTGTACATCATGTCTAATAACAGCAGTGAATATGAACACATTTCTTGTTTTCTGACAAAAGTTATAGTGGGATACAGATTTTTTCAGACCGTATTTTCGACCTGCCAAAATATGTATCCCCCCCCCTAAAATCTACAGGTGATGGCCTATCATCTAGTGTTTTATTTTATGAATACTGTACATCATGTCTAATAACAGCAGTGAATATGAACACATTTCCTATTTCCTGACTAAAGTTATAGTGGGATACAGATTTTTTCAGACCGTATTTTCGACCTGCCAAAATATGTATCCCCCCCCCCTAAAATCTACAGGTGATGGCCTATAATCTAGTGTTTTATTTTATGAATACTGTACATCATGTCTAATAACAGCAGTGAATATGAACACATTTCCTATTTCCTGACTAAAGTTATAGTGGGATACAGATTTTTTCAGACCGTATTTTCGACCTGCCAAAATATGTATCCCCCCCCCTAAAATCTACAGGTGATGGCCTATCATCTAGTGTTTTATTTTATGAATACTGTACATCATGTCTAATAACAGCAGTGAATATGAACACATTTCCTATTTCCTGACTAAAGTTATAGTGGGATACAGATTTTTTCAGACCGTATTTTCGACCTGCCAAAATATGTATCCCCCCCCCAAAATCTACAGGTGATGGCCTATCATCTAGTGTTTTATTTTATGAATACTGTACATCATGTCTAATAACAGCAGTGAATATGAACACATTTCTTGTTTCTGACAAAAGTTATAGTGGGATACAGATTTTTTCAGACCGTATTTTCGACCTGCCAAAATATGTACCCCCCCCTAAAATCTACAGGTGATGGCCTATCATCTAGTGTTTTATTTTATGAATACTGTACATCATGTCTAATAACAGCAGTGAATATGAACACATTTCCTATTTCCTGACTAAAGTTATAGTGGGATACAGATTTTTTCAGACCGTATTTTCGACCTGCCAAAATATGTATCCCCCCCCCTAAAATCTACAGGTGATGGCCTATCATCTAGTGTTTTATTTTATGAATACTGTACATCATGTCTAATAACAGCAGTGAATATGAACACATTTCCTTTTTCCTGACTAAAGTTATAGTGGGATACAGATTTTTTCAGACCGTATTTTCGACCTGCCAAAATATGTATCCCCCCCCCTAAAATCTACAGGTGATGGCCTATCATCTAGTGTTTTATTTTATGAATACTGTACATCATGTCTAATAACAGCAGTGAATATGAACACATTTCCTATTTCCTGACTAAAGTTATAGTGGGATACAGATTTTTTCAGACCGTATTTTCGACCTGCCAAAATATGTATCCCCCCCCCAAAATCTACAGGTGATGGCCTATCATCTAGTGTTTTATTTTATGAATACTGTACATCATGTCTAATAACAGCAGTGAATATGAACACATTTCTTGTTTTCTGACAAAAGTTATAGTGGGATACAGATTTTTTCAGACCGTATTTTCGACCTGCCAAAATATGTACCCCCCCCCTAAAATCTACAGGTGATGGCCTATCATCTAGTGTTTTATTTTATGAATACTGTACATCATGTCTAATAACAGCAGTGAATATGAACACATTTCCTATTTCCTGACTAAAGTTATAGTGGGATACAGATTTTTTCAGACCGTATTTTCGACCTGCCAAAATATGTATCCCCCCCCCCCTAAAATCTACAGGTGATGGCCTATCATCTAGTGTTTTATTTTATGAATACTGTACATCATGTCTAATAACAGCAGTGAATATGAACACATTTCCTATTTCCTGACTAAAGTTATAGTGGGATACAGATTTTTTCAGACCGTATTTTCGACCTGCCAAAATATGTACCCCCCCCTAAAATCTACAGGTGATGGCCTATCATCTAGTGTTTTATTTTATGAATACTGTACATCATGTCTAATAACAGCAGTGAATATGAACACATTTCCTATTTCCTGACTAAAGTTATAGTGGGATACAGATTTTTTCAGACCGTATTTTCGACCTGCCAAAATATGTATCCCCCCCCTAAAATCTACAGGTGATGGCCTATCATCTAGTGTTTTATTTTATGAATACTGTACATCATGTCTAATAACAGCAGTGAATATGAACACATTTCTTGTTTCCTGACAAAAGTTATAGTGGGATACAGATTTTTTCAGACCGTATTTTCGACCTGCCAAAATATGTATCCCCCCCTAAAATCTACAGGTGATGGCCTATCATCTAGTGTTTTATTTTATGAATACTGTACATCATGTCTAATAACAGCAGTGAATATGAACACATTTCCTATTTCCTGACTAAAGTTATAGTGGGATACAGATTTTTTCAGACCGTATTTTCGACCTGCCAAAATATGTATCCCCCCCCCTAAAATCTACAGGTGATGGCCTATCATCTAGTGTTTTATTTTATGAATACTGTACATCATGTCTAATAACAGCAGTGAATATGAACACATTTCTTGTTTTCTGACAAAAGTTATAGTGGGATACAGATTTTTTCAGACCGTATTTTCGACCTGCCAAAATATGTATCCCCCCCCCTAAAATCTACAGGTGATGGCCTATCATCTAGTGTTTTATTTTATGAATACTGTACATCATGTCTAATAACAGCAGTGAATATGAACACATTTCTTGTTTTCTGACTAAAGTTATAGTGGGATACAGATTTTTTCAGACCGTATTTTCGACCTGCCAAAATATGTATCCCCCCCCCCAAAATCTACAGGTGATGGCCTATCATCTAGTGTTTTATTTTATGAATACTGTACATCATGTCTAATAACAGCAGTGAATATGAACACATTTCTTGTTTTCTGACAAAAGTTATAGTGGGATACAGATTTTTTCAGACCGTATTTTCGACCTGCCAAAATATGTACCCCCCCCCCCTAAAATCTACAGGTGATGGCCTATCATCTAGTGTTTTATTTTATGAATACTGTACATCATGTCAAATAACAGCAGTGAATATGAACACATTTCCTATTTCCTGACTAAAGTTATAGTGGGATACAGATTTTTTCAGACCGTATTTTCGACCTGCCAAAATATGTACCCCCCCCCCCAAAATCTACAGGTGATGGCCTATCATCTAGTGTTTTATTTTATGAATACTGTACATCATGTCTAATAACAGCAGTGAATATGAACACATTTCTTGTTTTCTGACTAAAGTTATAGTGGGATACAGATTTTTTCAGACCGTATTTTCGACCTGCCAAAATATGTATCCCCCCCCCCAAAATCTACAGGTGATGGCCTATCATCTAGTGTTTTATTTTATGAATACTGTACATCATGTCTAATAACAGCAGTGAATATGAACACATTTCTTGTTTTCTGACAAAAGTTATAGTGGGATACAGATTTTTTCAGACCGTATTTTCGACCTGCCAAAATATGTACCCCCCCCCCCTAAAATCTACAGGTGATGGCCTATCATCTAGTGTTTTATTTTATGAATACTGTACATCATGTCTAATAACAGCAGTGAATATGAACACATTTCCTATTTCCTGACTAAAGTTATAGTGGGATACAGATTTTTTCAGACCGTATTTTCGACCTGCCAAAATATGTACCCCCCCCCCCCAAAATCTACAGGTGATGGCCTATCATCTAGTGTTTTATTTTATGAATACTGTACATCATGTCTAATAACAGCAGTGAATATGAACACATTTCTTGTTTTCTGACAAAAGTTATAGTGGGATACAGATTTTTTCAGACCGTATTTTCGACCTGCCAAAATATGTATCCCCCCCCCCTAAAATCTACAGGTGATGGCTTATCATCTAGTGTTTTATTTTATGAATACTGTACATCATGTCTAATAACAGCAGTGAATATGAACACATTTCCTATTTCCTGACTAAAGTTATAGTGGGATACAGATTTTTTCAGACCGTATTTTCGACCTGCCAAAATATGTATCCCCCCCCTAAAATCTACATGTGATGGCCTATCATCAAGTGTTTTATTTTGTGAATACTGTACATCATGTCTAATAACAGCAGTGAACGTTTTTGGTTTAATAAATTCTCAATGTATAAAACTGTCAATGATCTAAATTAATGGTGGTGTATATTTTATTTGTTCATTATTCATACTATTTGAATTTTTAATTTTATGGAGCCATCAGAATTATTCCATACTAACCTAAAAAATATTTGTGTGGAAAAACTAAGAATTATAGATTCATGCTCTGTGTTTTGTTTTGTTTCTAAGATGACCTGACTGACATATGTCACTTCTGTGGATCAGAAGGACCCAAGGAAGATTTGAGCTGGGTAAATCAAACTTAAGAAATGTGAAATGAAATATGTTTTGATATAAAGTTATTAAGAATTTTATTGTAGTGTTATGTTGGATATTTATATTATATTTCTTCTATTTTGCCCAGGACTTACAAACATTACATAATTATTTTATCTCCACAATAATTACTGTACAGTATATTACAAATATCAATTACACAGGAATGAAAATTTGCAACCTCTTACTGAATCCAAATAATTTGTTTTCCAGATTCAGTGTGACGTTTGTTTGCGGTGGTTCCACCATATGTGTGTTAAAAGCCCACCAACGGAGGAGGCCTTCCTGTGTACTGCTTGTACTCCTTAATTTTGTGTACATTATTGTTCCGGAGGAATTTATTGATTAAATCTTGTTGTATTATTACACCTTCCAAGTATGTGTCTTATCATCTTAAAATTATTAAAAACCAACAGACTGATGCGGGACATTATCTCAATATGCGACGTGCGGTCCAGCACAAAGTGGGACGGGTGCTGCTCAAGATGGATGGCGGGGGTCTTATCTTGCTTTCTTGGCGCCACAGGAAGTGGAGACGTTGATAGTCCATCATCTGTGGAATATGGAGAGGGGGATACCTTTTATAGCAGGTCGAAAATACGGTCTGAAAAAATCTGTATCCCACTATAACTTTAGTCAGGAAATAGGAAATGTGTTCATATTCACTGCTGTTATTAGACATGATGTACAGTATTCATAAAATAAAACACTAGATGATAAGCCATCACCTGTAGATTTTAGGGGGGGGATACATATTTTGGCAGGTCGAAAATACGGTCTGAAAAAATCTGTATCCCACTATAACTTTTGTCAGAAAACAAGAAATGTGTTCATATTCACTGCTGTTATTAGACATGATGTACAGTATTCATAAAATAAAACACTAGATGATAGGCCATCACCTGTAGATTTTAGGGGGGGGATACATATTTTGGCAGGTCGAAAATACGGTCTGAAAAAATCTGTATCCCACTATAACTTTAGTCAGGAAATAGGAAATGTGTTCATATTCACTGCTGTTATTAGACATGATGTACAGTATTCATAAAATAAAACACTAGATGATAGGCCATCACCTGTAGATTTTGGGGGGGGGGATACATATTTTGGCAGGTCGAAAATACGGTCTGAAAAAATCTGTATCCCACTATAACTTTAGTCAGAAAACAAGAAATGTGTTCATATTCACTGCTGTTATTTGACATGATGTACAGTATTCATAAAATAAAACACTAGATGATAGGCCATCACCTGTAGATTTTAGGGGGGGGATACATATTTTGGCAGGTCGAAAATACGGTCTGAAAAAATCTGTATCCCACTATAACTTTAGTCAGGAAATAGGAAATGTGTTCATATTCACTGCTGTTATTAGACATGATGTACAGTATTCATAAAATAAAACACTAGATGATAGGCCATCACCTGTAGATTTTAGGGGGGGGGATACATATTTTGGCAGGTCGAAAATACGGTCTGAAAAAATCTGTATCCCACTATAACTTTAGTCAGGAAATAGGAAATGTGTTCATATTCACTGCTGTTATTAGACATGATGTACAGTATTCATAAAATAAAACACTAGATGATAGGCCATCACCTGTAGATTTTAGGGGGGGGGTACATATTTTGGCAGGTCGAAAATACGGTCTGAAAAAATCTGTATCCCACTATAACTTTTGTCAGAAAACAAGAAATGTGTTCATATTCACTGCTGTTATTAGACATGATGTACAGTATTCATAAAATAAAACACTAGATGATAGGCCATCACCTGTAGATTTTAGGGGGGGGGTACATATTTTGGCAGGTCGAAAATACGGTCTGAAAAAATCTGTATCCCACTATAACTTTTGTCAGAAAACAAGAAATGTGTTCATATTCACTGCTGTTATTAGACATGATGTACAGTATTCATAAAATAAAACACTAGATGATAGGCCATCACCTGTAGATTTTGGGGGGGGGGATACATATTTTGGCAGGTCGAAAATACGGTCTGAAAAAATCTGTATCCCACTATAACTTTAGTCAGGAAATAGGAAATGTGTTCATATTCACTGCTGTTATTAGACATGATGTACAGTATTCATAAAATAAAACACTAGATTATAGGCCATCACCTGTAGATTTTAGGGGGGGGGATACATATTTTGGCAGGTCGAAAATACGGTCTGAAAAAATCTGTATCCCACTATAACTTTAGTCAGGAAATAGGAAATGTGTTCATATTCACTGCTGTTATTAGACATGATGTACAGTATTCATAAAATAAAACACTAGATGATAGGCCATCACCTGTAGATTTTAGGGGGGGGGATACATATTTTGGCAGGTCGAAAATACGGTCTGAAAAAATCTGTATCCCACTATAACTTTAGTCAGGAAATAGGAAATGTGTTCATATTCACTGCTGTTATTAGACATGATGTACAGTATTCATAAAATAAAACACTAGATGATAGGCCATCACCTGTAGATTTTAGGGGGGGGGATACATATTTTGGCAGGTCGAAAATACGGTCTGAAAAAATCTGTATCCCACTATAACTTTTGTCAGAAAACAAGAAATGTGTTCATATTCACTGCTGTTATTAGACATGATGTACAGTATTCATAAAATAAAACACTAGATGATAGGCCATCACCTGTAGATTTTAGGGGGGGGGGTACATATTTTGGCAGGTCGAAAATACGGTCTGAAAAAATCTGTATCCCACTATAACTTTTGTCAGAAAACAAGAAATGTGTTCATATTCACTGCTGTTATTAGACATGATGTACAGTATTCATAAAATAAAACACTAGATTATAGGCCATCACCTGTAGATTTTAGGGGGGGGATACATATTTTGGCAGGTCGAAAATACGGTCTGAAAAAATCTGTATCCCACTATAACTTTAGTCAGGAAATAGGAAATGTGTTCATATTCACTGCTGTTATTTGACATGATGTACAGTATTCATAAAATAAAACACTAGATTATAGGCCATCACCTGTAGATTTTAGGGGGGGGATACATATTTTGGCAGGTCGAAAATACGGTCTGAAAAAATCTGTATCCCACTATAACTTTAGTCAGGAAATAGGAAATGTGTTCATATTCACTGCTGTTATTAGACATGATGTACAGTATTCATAAAATAAAACACTAGATGATAGGCCATCACCTGTAGATTTTAGGGGGGGGGGATACATATTTTGGCAGGTCGAAAATACGGTCTGAAAAAATCTGTATCCCACTATAACTTTGTCAGAAAACAAGAAATGTGTTCATATTCACTGCTGTTATTAGACATGATGTACAGTATTCATAAAATAAAACACTAGATGATAGGCCATCACCTGTAGATTTTAGGGGGGGGGTACATATTTTGGCAGGTCGAAAATACGGTCTGAAAAAATCTGTATCCCACTATAACTTTAGTCAGGAAATAGGAAATGTGTTCATATTCACTGCTGTTATTAGACATGATGTACAGTATTCATAAAATAAAACACTTGATGATAGGCCATCATCGGTAAAATCGTTGTTTGCCTATGTATAAGTGCAATGCATTATTGAATGATTTTGGTAATAATTCACCATGGAAGGAGGAGGAGGGGGGGGGGTAAGAACAATTTTATATCCACGGGCTGTTTGCTTGTGAAACGATATGGTCGTCTTAGTTTTTCAGTACATTCTCGTGAGAATTGATCCATTCCGTGCATGAAGCTAGATCGTTTGCCCACAAAATAATTAGTTTTTGATGGGCCACATGATATCTGTCTTTGCTAAACCTCGTCGATAAAAAAAAACAAAACAACAACAACAGTAAAACGATGACTTAAACAATTCACGTGTTATAGTTTAATTCATCTTGGACAAAGTAATGACACACCTCCTGCTGAATGCGTGCGCGCTCCCGCGACCGGGGATACACTTCCTTTCAGGGGTAAGTACCTTGGCACGACACCTGTCAGTTCTGGTTGAGCGCTGCTTCATGTCATGGGGGACAGTCCGTAACCGGCTATTTTTTGCAGGGCACGTGGTTCCTTCCAAAAGCTCTGACGCCACTGCTCCCGTTAACTATCCCGGATACTATATATCGCCCAACTGAGCTCTAGGGTTTTCTTTTCAACGGCATCTGATGATAGTCCCATTAAGAAAAATAAATTGGCCCAAAAGTTGCAAGGTTGTTAGAGGGCGCTAAATGCGAACGAAACGTTAGACTGAGGAGGTAAATACAGAGAAGACGCTTTGAGAAGAGAATTTGCTCTGACATTTAGGGCAGAATCTTTTTTTTAAGTCTTCCAAATTCCTCTTTCACATTCTACTAACAGGATGCGTTGGTTAAAGGCTAGGTAAATGTGTATGGCTTGTGGTTGGAGAGGGTTTCAACTCTTCTTGGATAGCTCCGACTATTACTTTCCAATATGGGGGAACCCTCATCAACCTGTCTGCCTCTTAATAATTTAAGAGTTCTCTTATTGCCATTTTGGTATGTTAACACTCTCAATGAGCTAACTTTACAGGTTACATAACAGAGATGTCTGCTTGTCATCACAGCCAAATACACATCCGAGACATAGAAGCACATCCATTAGACATTGATGCTGGGCAAATTAGTCTAGCCAACATTCTGAACAGGTTAAGTGAGTGCAGATAAACAACTGATGAAGAAAAACATGTGTTTGTACTTGCAGAGGTACTACGTTAAGAATGGTTTATATATGACATGAAATACTATTAAGTGATAGATTCCCATAGTTTAATGCTATGGGTGGGATTGAGAATATGATCAGAGAAAAATCAGAGAAAATATGAGTGACAAGACTGTTATGTCATTAAGGTTATACCTTCCAAGAAATCCACTGATCTCTCTGATGTCATAGAGGGGTGGGAATGTGAAATAGAGAAATCTATATTTGGCAAGCTGAAGGTTAAGGGACAGTCAGCCCTGATTCATTTCTGAATCAGAGAGATGACACCAGGGCATACATATATTCTCCACCCATGCACAAATTATGTATCTTTGTCAAATTACCTCATGGATTATCATTGGGAGAAACAATTAACAATCTAGAAACAAAGTGTGAGTGATCCAGTGGCCATGCACCGACATTTCTCAGAACAATAATATAACAATAAGATCACATTGTAGCTGTTTTGCAATCCAATTTAACTAAATGCTGCATGATCGCAAAACAAATCAGATGAGGTCCCTCATTTAAGAGGTTTTTAACATGTAAAGCCATTAAAACAGATCTTGTCAAATGTCAAAAACTTCTTGTGCTATTTTAATTCATTTGCACAAGACTCTC